GTAGTATATATAAAATGATGCGATGGACAGGAGTTAGCAGAATTCCCAATCTTGATAAATTATCTGCTATCTAAGTAACCCGATCACAATATATTGGTCTAATGTTTTCTTATTAAATGACAGCTTTAATGAACATCAACTGAGCAGTGGCTCTCTTATGAAATCTATTCGTTTGTAGGTTGATTTTGTGAAAAAATTTCCAGTTCAGACATTTCAGAAAGTCAATCAGTCATGCATACTGTCATTATAGAAGTCAACTAAATACCACTGAGCTAATTAACACTTACAATAAAATCATATGGGAATAAAGGAAATTTCTATATGGATCAGCAATATTTCCACCATAAGATATTAATAATTAACCCTTGTTTTGCATATTTATAGTAAATGAAATTTAATCGAAAATTGATATGACTTAATATCTTTTAACAGTTGAAATATATAAAATTCAACTGGGGAATTTAGAGATCATAAAAATCATAGTCTATGATAATTATATGAAGTGTTTTAGTTGTATAAATTAAAATTCCTTTGACAGAAAATAACAGAAACCATTTACATATAACAATAGTTTATAAATCCAAAACTTCATTGTAACACACTATCAACTTGGGGATAGTGCAACTCAGTGACTTAAGATGTTACCAGGAAAGTTGTTCAGAAGAGAAATCAATGGCTATTCTGATGTAATTTTTATTTACTCTCTTCATAAAAGTGAAAATAATTCATTTAAATGAAAGGCTTTTCCCTTTTTGTATTTTTCATTCCGAACTGTCTCTCCTATTAGAAACTGTTCTCGTTCATTTATTTTTTTATCTTTTTATTCATCTATTTATTTTAATTATACTGTGGTGTGTGCTACGTATGTTTACATAAGTAGTATATGACGTGAGTAGTGAACAGAATGTCTGACAGCAGAGAGACGAGAAGATCGAACAATAAAGAATGAAGAAAGAATGCAATTTGTATGAAAATGCAAGAACAAAGGAATTCTGAGTCATTTGAGATAATTGATGAACATTTTGCAAATTGAGCATTTAATTTATGGTTGTTAGATTTTGCTAAGTGGAGACGGATTTTTTTCATCATAATCCTCTGATACATGTTTCTCATTATTAATTGTTCAAATATTTTCTAACACCATTTTGTAACTCGAAAATTTAATTACCTTAGAGATTATAATAATTCATAGATAGTAATGGAAATCAATCTTTTTTCTTTAAACATTTCCTTATGGTTTAATGTTGTAGATAGTTAATTCGAATTTATAACCTGTATACCGTAAATTTAGTTTATTCATTCTGTGACACTATATAGTTCATTTTAATTTTTCATACAAAATTATAAACTTCAACTTTCACAGTATAAAATGTCCTTGTAAAAATAAAGGCATAAACCTAATTTGATAAATCTATGTAAAAACTTGGTATACATTATATGAACGTATAGGGTGTCTCTGTGATCAAACTGAAGTCCCTCAATATTCAGATAATTTGCATACAGTTAATTCTAATTTGAGTACTTTTGTACTGTAAGAAAAAGTTCACACTCTCACTTCATCAAAGCATTAACTTATTCAACCTGAAATATGACATAATACAATGTGAATACTGTATAAAAATGACAAAGATGTTGGGAAATATATATACCGTAAATTAGTTTAAAATCTCTGTATTTTGTATTTGACAGTTGATTAGTTTGCTTAAGGGATGATGTATAACGTTGTGAAAAAATTCCAGTTCATATCATTTTACTTAGTAACTGACTTTGTAATCTTACTTTTTTATCTAGGTAGTGGTTTATTCTTAGCTTTTTAGTCTCTAAAACCATATATATATATATATATATATATTCAGTTCAAATAAGGAAGAAATGAATGTATAGTAGTAGTGTTTTCCCAACAGTTTATTGAATTTTTATTGATTGTTTACCTGACAGTTTGTATATCTACCAATTTCAACACAAAACTAATATAAATTGTTTCTAACACAAAATACAAAGTAAATAAAACGGAGAAATCTTTTAATAAGTGAATTACAATCCAAATTAGCTCCATATATCTAAAATGAGAGTAAGAACAGCTACAACACTTCAAAACATCAACATTTTAATCTCATTGAAGTCGACATAGTGAGCCAAATCAAGTTTAGACTCTGATGAACCAAAGGTACATATCAATGATATAAGTCGTTCTCAATATCATGTGGAGAAACTTTCAGTGTCTTTTTAACTACTAATTCATCTAACAGATACATAGCCTTGCTGTGATAGATAAACTGAATCTAAAATGTATACTATTTATCAAGAGATAATGTGATCAATTTGACTGTCAATTAACCTCCTTAAATTATTACAACGTATAACATCCTACTTTCCTCAACACACAAATGCGATTCGGCTGACATTCAGAGTGACTGATGTCAAACAAATGCTAGTTATTCAAATGAAAACTAAAATAACAATCGCTACTAGTCTTCTGAAGCCGTTTACACTGATTACTTAGACTTTTCATCAAAGTACTTCAAATATTGTAAATCCGTTTTTGCGATGTTTTGAAAAGCATTGAAAGAGTCAGACATATAAAACAGTAACTTTGCGAGGTTTTAAGTACAGTCATCCAATACAAAAAGTAATGGTACAATGCGTCGAGTAAATAAAAGTGATCTTGAAACTGTGTATTAATGGTTGAGTCAGTTGCTTTAGGATGTAATTAAGATCTCACAAATCAGTGGCATAAATGATATTTGCAAGAATAAATATACTATCCATGCTTTTTTTCTCCGTACACTCGAATTTTTAGTATCCGAAAATGTGTAATGCAACAGTCAACAATGATTATACAAGTAAGTATTAATGATCTTAAAGGTGAATTTCATTCGTTCGTTTAATTATAAGAACGATTTTTAAAGAAATTTCCGAACAAATTGATGGATATTTTACTAACTTGTCGTAAGTCACACCGGAGGTAAATGTTTACAATTTAAAAGGTTCTCTTCTTATCAGTTTGCAATTGAAAGCGCTCGAAATCATTTGGTTCGACTCTTGTAGTCTTGAAGATTAATCTAAACTAAATTTCCATTAGACTTATGTATACTATGGCCATTATCGTTCAGTTCTAAATGACCGAAATCAAGTAAGAAGTACATAATTCTTTGTACCTAACTTTGATTAGACCGACAAAACATAGTTTTTAATAGAAAAAGTTTCATAAAACCAGACTACATTATGAACTAAAAACTTTTTGAACAATTAAAATACATTTAGAGATTATGTACACTTTTGTGGATGATTAGATAGACCACTCACGAATCACATAATGATTTGAATGAGGAGGAAAAGTTTGCTACAGTTCATAATACCTCCTAATCCAATAGTTAAATATGACTTCATCCGTTCACTTTACTTTGTAGAATATTTTGCACTGAATAACTCATGTATTAATGCACCTTGGAGATACAGCTTGGTAAAAACTTTAATAGTTAAGAACGTGGAAAGACGAATAGACGAGATTCACACTTATAATTATCGATTGGAAATACTAGCATGAAAAAATCTATTGAGAACAAAAACCTTGAAGATTGACAACAAACAATCATAGAGATAGAACCTTTAATCTACGAGGACTGTTCTTTAAGGATTGAAAAACATTACAGAGAAATATATAGGTAGCAGTTCCAAGAGAGGGAACAGGATGAATAACAAACCCAGCTTTGTAACCACGTTTAATCATTAGAGAAAGATCGTAACCTGAACTACCACACATCATAGTAAGATATATAAATGTTCAAATCGATTTGCACTCCAACCTCTCAAAAAAATTTGTAGCTGACCTCTAATACAGTAGAGTATCACTTACGAGTTAATTACTGCTTCTAAGCAGTAATCGGTTTCCAGTATGAAGAAATATTCATGGAATTACTGTAAGCATCTCTAATTACAGGATATTCGTAATCTTAAGTAATTACTACTTGCTGAATATTCCGTTGCCTCGATATCCGTATATGGGTAGTTATGTCGTAACCAATATAAATGATGATACTGTATCACAATATATAGTATCATTAAAAACAAAACTGAGTCGAAAAACAAGAACTAAGCCATACTCTGAGTTTTGAAACCCAGCACTCAAGTGATTAATGCATAAAAATGAAAGCTAGTTGGCTACAGTATACCACGGACTAATAAAGCATTATGTGAAACCATTTGTTTTGATGGTTATACCACAATCAACTGTTTTCCGAAGGATGGAATATTGATTGCCACATTTTTATAAACCACTGGGAAGCCTGATCTATCATGAATATGAGTAACCTTAGATCTCTCAAGCAGCGTAAAGAAATTAGAAGTGAATTGTTAGTAATGGGATTGGTAAACTGAATATTATTGTGTGAAAAACACACGAAATGGCTAAACTAGCTAGAAAACCCTTCGGATATCTCCGATACAAAACGCTAACTGTAAACCAACTAACAACTAAACGAAAAAACCACATTATTTGGAATTAACTTACCTTATAATCATAAATTTCTTCACGTTTTAGTGGACTAGAATGCATATCATAAAACCCTTCAAAACCCATCGCCATCATTTCAGTCATGTCCGTTTGATATAGATTCAACGTGAAAAAGTCAGGAATTATAAAGTACAACTCCAAATACAATTACACGCCGCTTCAGGAACGACTACATTAGAGGACGAAGTGCTCACCTCAAATAGCTCCGAACTGATTCAGAAATTGCTATTTGTCTCATATGATGGCTTATTGAACTCAGAGAATGTTTTTGATTGGCTAGGAATTTAGCCTTGATAACAAGATAGACCTGTCCCAGTGGCCTTGTGTCCGATTAACCAAACAGCTGTAAAAATACTATGGACTAAATGATATATCGCTGTCTACATAGTAGTCAGAGCGTACGATACACACACATGAGCAAGAGCATTTAGAAAAATTTTAGTTGAAAATGAATTCACGTGGGACATATTTCAGTCGACTAATCATCCCTAAGACAACTATTACCTATTTTATTCATGCCTTGGAAATAACAGTAATCCCTTTCCTCTAAATTTTAAAATGACTCACCCTAAAAAAATGACAGTTTAGGCATTGAAAAGGGAAAGCAATAAAGTCTACGGCGAAATTATTAGAGAAAATGTGAGTCATTTCTACTCAATTTAAATTACTATGGTCTATGGTTAGTTGACTAAAATTTATATCAAGTGGTCATATTTTATTAAATCCATATATTTTTTAATTATTTTAGTCCCATCTGTAAATACAAGTTAAAAATTGAGCAATAAATCTACTTAACCTTATTTATGAGTTAGGCTAACTTACTTTACAATTAATGGTATGATTTAATTAACTAAATTTAATATTAAGTTTTTACACAAGCATGACATTGATGCCCTTTGGAGTTTCTTAACTGACTGTTAGACAGTTTCTACTTTTCATTACAGTCATTAAACGAATTGCATACATTTATCTTTGAGATACTGTTGTATTTTTGACGAGTGATTTACTTTCCCTGTTTGGTATATAGAGCTGGGGTAATTAGCCAATTAATCATAAAGTTGACTAATTTAGCTTAGTAGTCATTCAAACGTTTTTATTACTACTTCCAAACTATCAGTAAGTTTAACGGTCTAAATATTGATATGTCCCAGTTTCATTTCCTTAAATATCTTAAATGCATGGATGGAATAGCTCACAATAATAGAATAAATATATCCACCAGATCATAATTGAGTTACATGATCAATTTTTAATTTTGTTCATTTTGTATCACTTATAACTACGGTAACAAATTATTTTTACAAATTTTCCATTTTAAGAAACCAGACTAATTATTGGTACATGATGATGTTGCTTAATCTTCCCTCATATACACCGATTAAATGTAATAAAAAACACTTCTTCAAATTTATCGAAACCATAAAATACCACATTATTCGACTGCTTCAAAACTCAGTAATAACACCTATAAAATTGATTCCCTTCCGTTAGAAAACATTGGGAATATCAAGCAGATGACATATTAATTAATCGAGGAAAGTGAAAAAAAACAGTGATAACATTTTGGAGTGATTCAGTTAGATTATTAAATGATTTACTACAATATTCCCATTTATTTAATTAGTAGTAATGCTATTGTACGAAATCTTGGAAAATCTTATAACTTGTGGCTTGAGTGCCTTGTAAATATATAACGTCACGATACCACCAATTAGAGAGCAGTGGATTATCGATCGGACCAATGGCTCCTAAAGCCCGTGCGAGCAGTCTAGAGTCCTGATTGGTCCTGCTTTCCACCTAGCCCAGCCAGTTAAGTCCAGAACACCCATCTCAGCCTCTGCAATATGAATCATTTATTTCAAGCATACTTGGTTTATATACCAACCAGACAGACCACATCGTACCAACAAAATATGAGACAACATCTGTACAAGAATTAGTCAAATGTTGCTGTGAATGAACAGGGCATAATTCAAGAATGGCAAATGGTATAATAATAGTTCATAGGTCAAAACAAAGCTCATAATAAGTGGGACACGAATATGAATAGTTTAGTTACATAACAATTATACGATAAAAATATACGTATAGTATTGGTTCATAATAGATCCCAAAAGTTATCATTCATTATGCTTATCGGGACCTAACAAAAAAAAAACCATATTTACACACGTTTAGAGTTACTTAAACCAAGAGATAAGGTTTTCAGTAGTTCTTTGCTAAATTTAGGTTATGTTAGAATTTTATGCCAATATACCGTAATGAGTCTTAATTTACTTGATATTTCTAAATTAAACACAAAATGCTTGTAAATCATGAACTCCCTTTTACCTTCTTTAAGTAACTTAATACTGAATAAATACGTCTAGCATAAAAACTAACTCTAGATATTTAATACTATCAGTAAAAAAGGAATTTTTATCCACAATACTGTTTTCAGTGAACTTTGGTTTATTTTTCCTAAAAGGTAATAATCATTTATAGATGACGCTTAAGTGGTTGGAAGCGGTCATTAGGATACTCTTGGACTTAGGTTTCGTGTTAGTTGGCACTCCTCGTCGTGGCATACTTATAGTCTTCAGGGAATTGATGCTACTTGTGTTACTATTCAGTTTCACAGTTTGAGATTTTACAACTAGCTATTCGAGTTGCAACTGACCTCTTATCGACTAAGATATTTATACTAATTGATCACTGATTTATAACCAATGTCATATTCGTCTAGTCCTTTAATGCTGATCGAATTCTATCTTCTAGGTTGCAATGTTGACATCTGACATCTCAACTTAATGCACAAAGTTTTGAATCGCTTAGACTACCGGCTGCATTACAACTTAATCAATAGAGTCATATCAACACTAAGAAATAAACAAACATGACAATGGTTACTACCCTACGATCAATCAACTATAAATATAAATACGATATATTTATGAATCTACGCCTAAAATTAACACTTCTATTAAGTACGTAGTAAGAGGTTGAAAACAGGATAATGCCTACGAGTTGTATTATCATTAAAAGTGATATATTTGGACGAAAGTAATAAGAATAAGATAGTTATTAGATGACTGATTCACCTATTATGGTCTAAATTTCGAGTGACCATATATCTGACCAGTCAACATTTATATTTCATTTTCCCTCATATATATATTTGCCTGTAGCCCTTTTAGGGTTACTGCCAACCCACTTCTGACGGCCAAAACAGCAATTAATTTAGGTACATACAATGCCCGGACAATGTGGGAGACTGGAACAACCTGTTAAATGGTTGCGTAAATGAGGAGATACAACTTGGCCGTTCTCGGAATAAGGGAAACCCATCGGTCCTAAGCTGGGCATAAAAGGTTAGCTTCGAGCGAGGCATTGCTAGACATTGATCATAAAAGAAAAAATGCTTCACACATAAAGAAATGCACAGAGGCTGTCCTAAGAAGCACAAAAAGCACTTATAGGATGGGGATCTCATGGATCCAGGATCATCAAAGTATCCTTCGAAATGAAGAAAGAGAGAATCGTAAAGAATGATATCCAGCGCTTTGCACCCATCAATGAGGAAAGGCTGAAGTCGGTCGTAGAGAAGTGACCAGGAGAAGACCTGGTCATCCTGATGGGAGATCTAAACGCCAAAATTGGAATGAACAACACCAGGTATGAAGATATCATAGCTAGACAGATAGAAAGAAAAGAACGAGAATGACGAGAGATTTGCAGACTTATGTATCTTCAGCAAAATGGTTATAGGTGGTACTATATTCCCTACAAACGAAAACACAAAGCTACATGGGTCTCGCTGGATCACAGAGAATCAGACTAATCATATTTACATCACAAAAAGGTTCAGAAGTGAGAACAGAGGGGGGGAGTTAACATAGATCCAGATCACCGGTTGATGGTAGCCCAGGTGAACCTAAAGTCAAAGAAACACTGGACAACTGAAGATACAGCATTACAAAAGGTTAATACAGATTTATATATATAAATTATCTGAAAATTAGTCATGTAATTTGTAACACAAAAGCCTATTCAACTTAAAAGCTTACCTCAGCTATAAACAAATTCATCTGCTGCTTGATTTTCACATTGTGCTGATACACCTAATATAAGTAATATCATATTGCTTGTATTCAATAGTAATATATTTACCTATTGCTTTACAATTAACACTTAAGCCAGGAAAAATTAATTAACTTTATTTTCATTCAGTGAAGATCAGATTTAAGTTGTTTAATCTTCATTTCCGATTTGTGAAGACTGTCACCAAATAAACTACTTTCACTATGGTTGTTTGTAAATTCTTAGACAGTGTTTACAAATAACAAGAGATTGATTGTAAACTAATAGTCATAACCATAAAAATAATTATTTTCAGAGGGAAAGCATATACACTTTCTGTCAATGTTTCAATAGGGTTAATTGTTTTTGACATTTTTCTCTAGCAAAAATGTCTACGTGGTATAATGACTGGATTTTTGTTTACCCAATGTTACATGCTGTATGTATAGCATGTGAAACATTATAAATTCACTGAAGTCAAGAACCAATTAATGCTATACCACCATTTCAAACCTGGAAGCGCTAGAATACCGTTCTGTCCTAGTGTGGGACTCATCGGCAGTGTAGATTCACGATCACGTACATGGGAGTCGAACTCAAGACCTTCGGTCTCATGATCGAACTCTCAACCTCTAGACAATTGACCCAGACTCCAGTGGTGTTAATGTCCGACTTCAATCAATCCACAACATTAAGCATCCCATACTAGGGCGAAATAGCGGTTTTGTGCCTCCAGGTTTTTAAGGATGGTCTAACATTGGTCTGCTCATGATTTCAGTGTAATTCAACAATATCCACTACCCTAAAATGATAATTATACACCCAGTTTTTAGTTATGACATTTTTAAATAGTTCAACCATTCTTCAAAATATTCACCAGTAGAACTAAAGATTTTTTAAAATTTTAGTTCTCTACAGGATATACGACAGAGGATTATTGTCTGCCAAATAATATATAACATTGATCACTTCTTAACACAAGACATTAACTGAATGCTTTAAAATACTACATTATGGCTTTTCATTACTAATGATAATTCCTTAACGAAAGAATTAAAAGTAAAGACTAATTTTGATGACTCAATATCTTGCTGAATCACAGTTACCAATCAATCAATAAAGGTGAATATCTGATAGTTCTGGGATCTTATTTTACATTTATTAATAAACTAATTTTTCAAACAGTTGTCCATAAATTATTGCAGAATCTAAATTCTATTCCTGTACTCAATCATACCAGCACGTATTGTAGTGTTACTATCACAAAATATGTCGATGTTTGGATATTGTAGAGCTATAATCAATCTGTTCTAAAGTTTACGTAATGTTTTTTTATGATAATACATTCACACAGAACATTTTACTATGTTATGTTGTTATAATTAATAATGCATATCCAGTTGCCCAAAAACTGTACTTTAGAATAACTTGAATACTAATGATGAAATCTGACTCGTTCTAAAAAAAACTCCACTGTTTAACTTAATAACACTGAATGATGTTGATCACAGATTATAATTATTCTTAATAAAATAATTTGACAGATGAATTTGTATGAAATTTAAGAAGTGAAATAACACTCACACATTTAGATGTTTCAAGATAAATAGAAAAATGTTGGCATACATCATTTTTTTTAATATATCGGAATGTTTAATTAATTTGTTGATGTTTTTAATGGTACATATCAACAACAGTTCTATAATTATTAGAATGGGGGGGTTGCAAATAAAATGGATCAAAGGTTGCGCAAGATCATGGATCGATTGAAGTTAGATATTAACACCATTGGATGCCGGGCCAATGGCCTAGAGGTTGGGTGTTTGTGCGCGATACCGACGGTATTGGGTTTGAGTCCCGTATGCGGGGTCGTAAATGCACACTGCTGAAGAGTCACATACTTGGACGAAACGATCGTCTAGTGCTTCCAAATTCTATAATTATCATGATAATTATAAAATGGAAATGAATTTTTAAAAAAATAAAAGCTTGAGCGAAATCTAGGAGGAAATATAATCTTTGTTTTTTCTGGTAACTACAAATATACAGAAATCGTTCATGTTCCTGAACATGCTCGGTACGGTAGTTCATTTAATTATATTTTACATCTGTCTAACAACTTTTTGTCTAGAAATGAGATTGTTCGTGAATTTTATAGATTCGATCTTCGATTTTGTTGTCGCATGATTGATTATATTTCGGAAATACACTCAGACCAAGCATTTTGTGACTTAAAGAAGTGAAAGCTGAAACTAAGTTGGAAGAAAGCTTAAGATCGTCAAACCAAACATGATATAAGTTCATAAATTCATGGACTGTTACTTTAAGACATACTAATAGATGCGGGCTAGCTTGTTAGAGTCCTTGTGATATGTTGGGGACGATAGATCCCCAAAAACTCATAGTTTGTAATTTATCTTGTGGAGCTTGTATGCAGATGTATACGTGGGCATTTCTTACCACCCACGCACATAGTGGATTGACGAATTTATCGATTAAATATTTAAATATTTCGATGGCAGTCAATTGACGAACTATCGATTAAATGTTTAAAAGCTCCATGACAATATCGATGTATATATATTTGTATATATACGTTTTAAAATTGTTTTTGTAAAATGTTTGCTGGTTTCGGGTTGTTGCAGAATATATTTCATTCCAAGCTTGGTCTTCTCTCTCTAGATAGCGGGCTGGGACGCCTCAATAGATAGCTTACTGGTCGTTGGTCACTGAATCTCGTTCTCGTTCGCAAACTACGTGAACCCGTGATCTTTCTCTCTCTTTCAAAACCTAACAATTGGCGACGGTGGTTCGGAAACATGGATCCTTCCAAACTTGAATTATTACTCGAGCAGCAGATGAAACTTATTCAGATGTTAACAGATACAAAGCTTACGTCTAATACTCAACCAAGCAGTTCTAATCTTACCACTACCGCACCATCAGTGGATGGTATCGCTAACAGTATCTCCGAGTTTCATTACGATCCGGAATCCAATGTCACATTTGATATGTGGTTTCGACGTTACGAAGACTTATTCAAATTTGACTTCGCTAACCAGGATGATGCTTGGAAGGTCCGCTTGCTGCTTCGAAAGTTGGGTCCTAGTGAACTAGACAGGTATTGCAACCTAATTTTGCCTCTAAACCCACGCGATCGCTCATTCTCGGACACTGTTCAGTCACTGAGCCAACAATTTGGAGACAACTCCTCACTATTCAATGCGCGCTATCGATGTTTGAAGCTCACTATGAACGAAGATGCTGATTTTCTCACACACGTAGGTATCGTCAACCAAGAATGCGAACGTTTCCGGTTGAAGTCGCTTACTGAAGACCAATTTAAAGTGCTCATTCTCATCTGCAGCCTTCAATCTCAGAAGTTCAGTGACAATAGAACACGTTTGCTAAGTCTTTTGGACCAAGACCCAAAACTAACACTTAAAGATATTGCAAACGAATATTAACGCCTAATCAATCTACAGTGTGACACTACGATGGTCCAGCGTGGTGTTTCAGATCTTACCGAAGTTCATGTAGTCCAACAACCACCCAACTCGCATAAAACTGCCCTAGCGACATCTACTTCAGGTCAACAGAAAAAAACAAATCCTCCTGCCCCATGCTGGCACTGCGGTGCATGGCATTTTGTTCGACACTGTCCATATAAACAACATCGGTGCAGGAAATGTAATGCGGTGGGTCATAAAGATGGTTTTTGTCGAAAAAAGAAGCCGAGCAGCTCCAGAGGTAGCAGAAAGCCTGCGCCTAGATCCAACACAAATTCATTGAGTCTAATAGCAAGCTGTCAGAACTCAACCCCAGGTGAGAGGAAATTTATTACCCTTAATATTAATGGGCACCCGTTCAGATTTCAAATAGACACTGCATCTGACGTAATAATTCTCTCACGAAAATATTGGATCAGAATGGGAAGACCACGCACGATGCCGACAAAACAGAAACCTCGAACTGCATGCGGTAATTATCTACTTTGTTGGGACAACTAGATTGTAAAGTGTCTTTTCACGATTCGACATTTACTGGAGTATGTTACATCACACCAGCTGATCTTAATCTACTTGGGTTAGACTGGTTTGACCAGCTACATTTGGCTGACCTTCCGTTGAGCACCGTATGCCATATGGTAAAACAACCTCATGAACCTGAAGCATATTCAAAAGAACTAATGACGGAGTTTTCGACGATTTTTCAGCCTGTTTTGGGTCAGTGCACTGCTATGAAAGCAACACTTCGGTTGAAACTTGAAGTTAAACCTGTTTTCCGTCCGAAAAGACCAGTGCCGTACGCAGCATTATCGAAAGTTGACGAAGAACTTAACCGCCTTCAACGAGAGGGAGTTATTACACCTGTTTCTTATTCTGCCTGGGCAGCACCCATTGTGGTTATTAAGAAGAAGAATGGCACAATCCGAATATGCGCAGATTTTTCCACAGGTCTTAACGCAGCTCTCGAACAGCATCATTACCCACTGCCAGTCCCTGCAGATTTGTTCACGATGTTAAATGGTGGAAAGTACTTTGCAAAGCTGGATCTCGCTGATGCCTATCTACAAGTAGAAGTGGTTGAAGATTCGAGAGAGTTACTTACCATAAATACTCATCGTGGCTTGTTTCAGTACAATCGCCTACCATTTGGTGTTAAAACAGCTCCATCTATTTTTCAGCAACTAATGGATGCCATTCTATCAGGTATCCCGGGGGTTGCAACTTATCTCGATGATATTTTAATTGTGGCCGCATCGTTAGAACAGCTTCGAGAACGCACGACAGCTGTACTACAACGCGTCAGCGATAACGGATTCAGATTACGCCCAGAAAAATGCCAGTTTTTCTTGAATTCAGTTAAATACTTGGGATTCATCTTTGATGCTGCAGGTCGCAGACCAGATCCTGAAAACATCCGAGCTATAAAATTGATGCCGACTCCCACTAATATCTCTGAACTACGATCATTCTTGGGATTAATTAGCTACTACTCAGCTTTTGTTCCGTCGATGCATAACATACGCGCCCCGCTAAATCATCTTCTGAATAAGAACACTTGCTGGAACTGGACAAAAGAATGTGAAGCTGCATTTTGCAAGCTGAAAGCTGTTATAAGCTCTGAACTATTACTGACACACTACGATCCGTCCATGACTATCATTGTCGCTGCAGACGCTTCAGCTTTTGGACTCGGTGCTGTCATTTCTCATCAGTTCCCCAACGCAACAGAGAAAGCAATTATGCATGCATCTCGCACATTAACCGCAGCGGAAAGAAAATACAGTCAAATAGAGGAAGAGGCTCTTGCCCTTGTGTTTGCAGTACGCCGTTTCCATAAATTCTTGTATGGTCGAAGATTTACTCTTCTCACTGATCACAAGCCTCTTCTCACAATTTTCGGTTCGAAATCTGGTGTACCAGCTCATTCTGCAAACCGTCTCCAGCGATGGACTTTGATACTTTTGGGTTATGATTTTGACATCCAGTACCGGCGCACTCAACAGTTTGGTCAGGCGGACGCCTTGTCACGACTTATCAGCAAACACTATACGGCGGACGAAGATGCAGTTATTGCCTCCCTAATGACAGAGGACCACGCGCAATGTTATCTGACAACCGCTATTCGTGCCTTGCCAGTCACAGCAGCTGAAATACAATCAGCATCCAAGAACGACTCCATCATAAAGAGAGCGACGAAGTACGTCACCAACGGCTGGCCGCCAACTGGACTTGATGGTGACTTGAAGCAGCTTTAATACCGTCGGGACTCATTATGTGTCGTAAATGAATGCTTGATGTTTGGAGATAGAGTAGTGGTACCAGAGTCCCTTAGACCAAGGGCGCTAATGCAATTCCACACTGGTCATACGGGTATAAAACGAATGAAATCCATCGCAAGAAGCTATACTTATTGGCCCCTCATGGACCAACATATCGTGGCTTTAGTAGGCAAGTGCACACAATGTCAGCAAGTGGCCAAGTGTAACGCGAAAGTACTGCCGGTCCCATGGCCACAGCCTGAGTATCCATGGTCCAGGATACATGTCGATTTCGCAGGCCCAATTAATGGAATCACCTACTTAGTCGTTGTTGATGCCTTTTCGAAATGGCCAGAAATCGTTCCCGTCGTGCCACCAACGACAACCCAAATGATGAAACTTTTGGCAGACATGTTCTCCCGCAACGGATTACCGGATATAATTGTATCCGACAACGGTTCGCAGTTCACTTCAAGTCAATTTCAAGAATTTCGCAAACGCCTATCGATCAAGCATTTCCGCTCTCCACCTTACCACCCACAGTCAAATGGCCAAGCAGAAGGATTTGTGGATACATTCAAGAGAGCCCTAATGAAATCGAAAGGGAAGGGGACACCAGTGGAAACACTGCAGAATTTCCTGTTTGTTTACCGAACAACACCTAGTGATATGCTTCCACAGCAGAAGTCCCCGGCAGAGATCCTAACGGGAAGGAAATTGAGGACGATCGACTGTCCAATGTGCCCAAGAACCACACCACCACCACCACCTCAGACCAGATCTCACAAGCTGCAAGCATACGAGGTTGGATGCCCGGTGTTCTCTCGAGACTATAGAGCGAACCATGGTCCTTGGGTCGAAGCATGTGTAGTTGGAAGATTAGGCCAAGTTATGTACGAGGTAAATGTGGCAAGAGACACATGGACTAGACACAGAAACCAACTGCGAAAGCGGATAACGCCAGACCGCCTATCAACAGGAGCAAATCTCCCTCTTGACATCCTGCTTGATACCTTCAACTTACCAGCAGCCCCACCACGAGAAGAAGCTCAACAAGAAGCTGATCTCCGTTCCAGAAGGTGGCCCCCCAGACAACGGCGAGCAACGGACAGGATGCAAGTCGACCCTAGAAAAGTGCGCTACCAAAAAGGGGAGGAGTGTTGGGGACGATAGATCCCCAAAAACTCATAGTTTGTAATTTATCTTGTGGAGCTTGTATGCAGATGTATACGTGGGCATTTCTTACCACCCACGCACATAGTGGATTGACGAATTTATCGATTAAATGTTTAAAAGCTCCATGACAATATCGATGTATATATATTTGTATATATACGTTTTAAAATTGTTTTTGTAAAATGTTTGCTGGTTTCGGGTTGTTGCAGAATATATTTCATTCCAAGCTTGGTCTTCTCTCTCTAGATAGCGGGCTGGGACGCCTCAATAGATAGCTTACTGGTCGTTGGTCACTGAATCTCGTTCTCGTTCGCAAACTACGTGAACCCGTGATCTTTCTCTCTCTTTCAAAACCTAACATGATAAGCGCAATTAGCGGTTGGGAGCATTGGGTTACATATCTCAGCATCGGTTAGAATTGTTTAGGTACAATTACTATTCAGCTTTCTCTAGACCCTGTGTTCCAGTATTCTTTCATGCATACATTTCCTTTCTCTCTTTCTGAACTATATTCTTAATATTCAGTTTTTCTCATTGTTACACAACCATTTGAGTTCCTTCACTATTCACCTTATCAGTTTCATCTCCTTGTGCTTATGTGATATGGAAGCATAAACCAACGTAGATATTTGCTAAGCTCTATGTTGATTATGACTAGCTCACTAACTGAAATATATTTATCTTTCAACAATATCTATAGACATGGAAACTAGCTAGGATAAGTCATCTTATTAAATTTTATTTGCAGATTGAAAATTGATAGTACTTATTCAAAAAATTTATTGATTAACATCAATTTTCTAGGTGAAATTGAAACAAAAAAATTTTCTCTACACAATAGATTTGAAAATTTTCATTTATATTTATAAAATAGAATCCAATTAAATTGATGCAATCGTTTATATTATTTAATAAATAAAAATATTTCATTAAACAAATCTATAGGAAAAAAATACCCAGTTCATAATGTATAATTTTTTTATTAATTTAATGACAGTTCATTCAAATAATAATTGAATATCAATATCATCTATATAAACATTATTATGCCTTACGTATCTGAAAATATAATCTCTCATAAACTACTGAATATATTATGATATCCTATTTAAAAAACATTCAATATTACTCATCAGTAGTTTCCTTAGTTATCATAAACTTATTCAAAAAATTGATAGTTTGTTTTACTTATATAAAAATTAACAGTATATTAAAAATTAAATATTGAAATAAAAGATTTTTTTCATTTCATAATCAAATTTATACTATTCTATTACTTGAATTTTTTAAACCAAATCGAAATATACTAATTATTATATTATATATAATACCATTTTAAAATTATAATTATTCTTCGGAAAAATATTCTTTCATAAAATGTGGATAAGTTTTCAATTTAATTATCGTTTAATCATATCAATTGTTCAATTACTTATAATGATTTGATTAATTATAATTTTAAAAATCAAAAAGAAAAAAACCATCTTAAGCTTCTTACTGTAAACAATTCTAAATGTTAGTTTAACAATATACATACAGTAATGAATTTATTTTAAAATAATAATTATCTAAATTCACAGTACATGTATCATTTATTCATATTATTCTGAGTCAGTTGTATTTTAACGTTCTAGAATAAAAATATTCTGTATTCACAACTAATTCTTATTATCTTAAATATTTTATTGTTGTTTCTTGTTACTTATATAATAATTCACTGGATTGCTACTTTAAACTCAATAGATAAATAAAGTTCATATTATAACTAACTACAATTGCTTACAATCATCATCATCATCATCATCATCATCATCATCATCATCATCATCATCATCATCATCATCATCATCATCATCATCATCATCATCATCATCATCATCATCATCATCATCATCATCATCATCATCATCATCATCATCATCATCATCATCATCATCATCATCATCATCATCATCATCATCATCATCATCATCATCATCATTATCATCGTGATTGTTATTATTATTAAATATTGATTTGTATGCCTATCCATCAGTTTCTACATCGTTGATCCATTCTTATTTTATCTTAGATCATAGAATAAACAAAATAATAATAATAAAATGATCATTTGAAATAAACTGAAAAATAAAAGAAATAAATGAAATCTCTTTCACAGTAATATAAATAAATAAATGTAATTTTTTATTATCTTACCTATAAATGAATTATAATTTTGAAATATCAACGAAAAAAATGACAGTTAAATTAATTCTTTCTTTCCATATTCTCTATCATTATTTGTTTATTTATTTATTTTCCTTTTCACCGGAAACAATGAAAAAGATGAAGATGGAAGTAAATTTTTAAAAAAACCTTGAGTCAAGATGTTAGAAATAAATTTACAAATTTATTTGAATATCTATAAATAAACAAACATATTTATTACTTCTCAATTGTTTGATCGATATTATGTATATAGAATCTTGTACGAAACTGTTAAAATAGTGATGGCTATTAGAATTTAAAATCTTTGGTTTAAATTATTCAGTTGTATTTATGTACATTTCTATTAATCTTGATCTTTCTATCAAGAATATCAAATCTCATGCTAATTGTCATTATTAACAATAACTTCACGTTATTGTTGTTTATATTGGCAGCATACACTGGTAAAATCAATCGTTGATTCATCCGTTAGTTCATTGTCCCTCTCTAGTGATATTCAGATCCATCTTCCAATTAGTTTTAAGTCTAATGTTGTGTTATACTTCAAAAATGGACAATACACTAATATCAGGTCACTCATAAGCTCTTTACATATTTACAAGCAATAAATATTGACATAAAATTGTTTTTTTAAGTTATTTAATGGATAAAAATGAAATTTTCCACTAATGGCTGCATATCTTTATTATAAACTTAGACGTAGTTTTCCATCATGAAATAATAGTCTGTAAAGATCAAAAGATAACTTTAAAAAATATTTCGGTTGTTAATCAATTTGTGGACTTTACTACTTTGAATTTCAGATTTGATTGTTACATAATAATTTATTTCCATCATTGATACAACTAAATTCACTCAACTATTTGATGATCGTAACTTCATGTTGACCAAACATGTATATAAGGTGTGTTTTTGAAATAACAAAATAACAATCATATTCACGCGCCTTACGCCTTAATAACATGTATTGTGTGTACAACATGATAAGTAGTTTGTATATAATAACGCTTATCATTACTATATTACAGTATGATGTGTTAATATTTTTACACTGTAAGTTTTAGTCCTTACACTCTGGCTCTTCATAACTACTAGAATATGTTTGATAAATATGTGATTTCTACTAAACTGAATCACTAAATTGCCATTAACCTACAAAACTGAAGTTCTTAGTTCTTTTCTCAGTTTCATACATTACTTCAGTGTGTGCCTTAGACTTGTCTGTGTACACCTTCAAACTATCTTTTGTCCATACATTTCAAACAGAAATGATAAAGTACATTTTTATAGCGACACCATTTTTATCGTCTGGTACTTCATTTTCATTCTGTATTCCGTAGTTTTTACATTTACTGTGATCTTTCTTAAGAATGTTCATGAGCTATCCCTCCATCCAGTCTGTTGCTTCTCTTCCTTTTCGTTGAATTCTTTCTGAATGGATCAGATATCTTCGCAATTACTTTAGTATCTGACCTCAGTGCTTCAGCTGATGTGTGTCTAGTACTGCTACTTTACTATTCTTAGTTCGTCTAGCGGCCTTGTCTGTTTCTTCTCATTTTGGTGAGGTAGCATCTACAGAAATGTTCATGTGTGTTGTTTCAATATCCGGTAGGTTCAGTGGGGTATGTTAATGTCTTATCCACATGTATTGCCGCTCTTGACCCTCAGTGGTTGGTTTGTCTTCTTTGTTCTTACCATATTCTCTACCATGTTTTACCATTGGATTTTCTGTTGTGCAATATTGTTCCCTAGTTTTTTCTTCTATTAGAGCTTTTTCCGCTGTCATTAGTAGATTTTCTATATATCTAAGCTCGTTAGCTCGAATTCCTCTCCTTACTCACTTGTTTACTTTTGTGTATTCAGCCTGTGCACTGACTCTCTGTGCTCTTGTTTGGCTGTTTCTTATTTTAGCTTCCTCCTTTATGAGTTAATCTAGTACGGCTTGAAGTTTGCTGACGAGGACTATCTTGATTTCTACAAAGTATTTAGCAACTCGAAGGAAGGATTTAGTGCCACCGCTTCTTTAAGTCTTATTTAGATTGTGCATCGTAACGTAATGATATGATTCTATATTACCTCCTTTATTTGTAAGCACATCTTCCATAACCGTTGTAAATATTTTATTTGTGCATTTATAATCTACTTCCATTGATGTAGTGCGATTCCTTGAAACTGAAGTACCCTGTGTATTCATTTCTAGTAAAAGTACTTATACATATGATCATATACGTAAATCTATCAATATTCTCTATTTTAAATTCATTGATTTAACCTATATTAATTTAAAGTCCGTGTTAATCATCCCAATCTTGTTGATAAAGTCCCGCATTAGAATTTTTAGATATTTCCTAAGAATATATCCAATTCAACACACTGTAAGACTGAACATAAATTTTTCAGTCAGTATTCTTGGATTCATAGCAGTGAATAGTATTCATTGAAACACTTTCCTTTTTAATTTGAAATATGCCTTAAAGGGAAGAAAAAACAAGTGCATATAGAATGGAAGGAAGGATATCTCATCATGCCAACAAAGAAAGATCTGGGGAAGTGTAAGAACTACATAGTTCATAGATTCTAAGATCCTAAATGAGACAAAACTTACTGAACTTCACTGCTAGGTATTATGGTCAAGTTTTAGTTACAAACAACATTAAAGCATCCACTCAGTTAACCTGTATGCCAACACAGATTGATCAAACAAATTCCTGAATAACAACTACAAGAAATTATAAAATCCCTTTAATGAACAGCCAACAGCCGATTTTAATCATCTAATATAGTAAGTTGTATTTATCACACACTGATATAAGTTGAGAGAGAGCACGGGGAAATTGTTTCGTTCTAACATGAGACTCAAATAGACTAGCCCCATCAAACGCACAGAACATTGACACAGCACACACAGACAATCCCAAAATACCACCCCACCAACCATCGAAGAAATAAGGATGATCATCAGACAAATCGAGTGAGAAAGCAGCAGGACCAGACAGCATAGCAGCGGAATCACTGAAGTCAGACATAGAAGTAACTACAAACATGCTCCACGTTCTACTCAGGAAGATCTAGGGTGGAAGAACAAGTGCCGACAGACTAGAAAGAAGGATACCTTACCAAGAGACCAAAGAGAGGAGGTCTGAGCAAATGTGAAAACCACAGAGGCATCACACTACTATCAGTACCCGGAAGTGTTTTCAACAGTGTTGTTGAACCGGGTGAAAAACTCAGTAAACGCTCTGGTTCGAGATCAACAGACCGGATTTCGTAGGGATCGGTCGTGCACAAACCAAATCACAATACTACGGATCGATCAATTCAATGGAATTCATCACTGTACATAAACCTCCTTGACTATGAGAAAGCATTTGATAGTGTGGGTAGGAGAAACTCATGGGACCATCTTCGACACTATGGTTTACCTGAGAATATTGTTAACATCAGGAATTCATGCGATGGAGTACACTGCAAATTCGTGCATAGAGGACAGCTGACAGATGTATTCCAAGTGAGGACCGGAGTCAGACAAGAGTGTCTACTCTCTCCCTATCTCTTCCTTCGGGTGGTTGACAGGATTATGTCAACCTCTGTATCTCAGAGGGACCACAAAGTAAAATCGACAGCTCGGAATTAACTAGACGATTTGGACTTCGCAGATGACCTGGTCCCTCTATCCCATACACACGAATAATTGCAGATGACGACAACAAGTGTAGGAGCAGTCTCTGCATCAGTAGGCCTCAACATACATAAGGGGAAAGGCAAGATCCTGAAATACAACACGGAGAACACCAATACAGCCACACTTGGTGGAAAAGCTCTCCGGGATAGGAGGATCTGGTGCAGATGTAAAGGTAAGGATTGGCAAAGTAAGGACAGCATTACTACAATTGAAGAACATACGGAACTCAAAACAACTGTCTGCAAGTCAACATCAAAGTCAGAAACTTCAATACGAACGTGAAGACAGTTCTACTGTACGGAGCTGAAGCTTTGGAGAACTACTACAACCATAATAAAAAAGGTACAGGTGTGTGCAAACAGTCTTATACTCAGGATACTCAATAACTATTGACCGGATAGCATCAGCAACAATCCACTGTGGCAGAGAAAAACCCGAATTCCGACTGTAGAGGAAATTAGGAAAATACGTCGGAAGTGGATAGGACATACATTGGAAAAAACATTAAACTGGTTCACGCGGCAAGCCCCAACTTGGGATCCTGGAGAGAAAAGGGGAAGAAGATGACCCAAGTATACATTGCGTCATTAATCAGAAGCAGACATCAAGAGAGTGAATAACAATTGGAAATAGCTAGAAAGGAGAGCCCAAGACAGAGTTAGCTGACGAATCCTGGTGGGCGATCTATGGTCCTCAAAGATTACAGGTACACCTTGCTGACGAGTGCCAATAGCACGAAACCCGGGTCCACGGTTTCCTGTCGACTACCTCCAACCACCATCTAATCTTACAATAGTGCCCGCGGTGTCCAATCACCTAGACTGGTGGCTCCATTGCAACATGATCGATAGCATTCGATCTGCACTGATAATAAGGACTAGACTCGCATGACATTTGTCACCCATTGATCAATCAATTGTGATTACAACTCAGTCCTACAGGAGGTCGGTCGCGGCCCGGATAGCTCAGTGGTAACGTCTCTGACTGTGAAGCTGGGTGACACGGGATCGAATCCGCCAGGGAGCACCAGTTCCCTCAAAGATTACAGGTACACCTTGCTGACGAGTGCCAAATAGCACGAAACCCGGGTCCAGGGTTTCCTGTTGACTACCTCCAACCACCATTTAAAATAAGAACTGCATGCAAGTATGTGCCTTCTACTGAAGACGTAGACTTAATGAGATAATATATCAGTTATTTCTACCTGATGATGTTTGAAGCTTTTAAAATTTGATTATTGATATTGAACATCGCTATTGGCGATTTATGGTGAATTTTTAAATTTGACAATTTAAACATCGAACTTTTTTTTAGACAATTTCATAATGATATGCAATGAGAATTCCCTCGTTATGGATATTGGCTTACTAGCTAACGTGTCTAGAGAACTTAAAGATCGAATATGTTCAGACACTATTCAAAAGCTTCAAGTAATATTTTATAGTAGAGTGATGTTATTTTTAGAAACGAACCAACCGAGAGCTGTTCAATGTCAATTGTGAAGTGGACAGAGTCCTAAGAAATGAATCTTACATAAGATCAAGACTATATTCTCCGATTGATGCCCGTCAAATAGATCACAAACGAAGTATGAATATCAGAAACATTCTATGGAATAAGAAGTTATTATTTTCCTTAAGTCAGAAAACAAAAAAGTCCCTAGATCGAAGTCTTGGACTCCGAAAGACGAAGTCAAAGCCCACCTATGACAATTTTTGGGATAGGGAACATGTACAGGTTGGTCATTACCATATTATTATAATCACTTAATTATGAGGCATATTTCATATGTATTGATATGTACTCAAGAATTTTTCCGCGAAAGAAATTAAGTATGTCGTGAATAACTCTCCACCGAGTGGGATTTAATTACGAGTAAATCTTGCGAGCTTATAAGCTCTCAATAGTTGGTTTACTGCCGAGAATTCTTTGTTATGTATCATACAAATTGACTGTCACCTGTTCAAATCTGTATCACAAGACGTTAGTTCAAATCACTATATTTTCATTTGTAATTAAAAACGTAACCAGAGGAAAAACAATATTTTTTTCATTTTCTGGATTTTTGTCTAATATATGTCTCTATATAACGTATTATCGTATAAAAGTTTGAGTTTTCTGATTTTAGGATGACCATCTTAAATACTATGCATGCATTTATTTGATATTTATGCCATTTTTATAGGACCCATTTCTTTGAAATTTCATAATTGATGTATTTACGGGGATAATTAGTGGTTGTCGATTAATGTTTTATAAAATGATTGTTAGTTACTGGCGTTGAGTCAGGTGTGCTTAATGAGATTTCCAAATCGTGTTTTTTGTGGAGTTTATCAATCTTGGTAGAACTAACATGAACTGACTGTGTTTTTGTCTGGAACGTGGATCAGTGCGCAATAGAATGAATACGTACTTTTATGAGATTCTGGAAACTAGAATTTCAATTCTGTTTGCTTGAGACTTCTCGTTAATCCTACAGTAAAGTCTTTGAAGCATATTGACATATTCTCTGAATGCTTAGCATTCGTTGCTCGGTGTGTGCTCTCAGTGCAACATTGCTGTTTGTCCTTAGTACTCAATGATACAAAAACGTTTCCATAGAGCCGACGACAAAAGATGCCACTGAACTAGCGTTGACCATAATACTGAAAAAAATTAAGAAATCTTCAGTTATCGACAACTAACTATTTGAACGTTTAAAGCCATCGGTTTCCTCTATATTATTGGTTCTTGAAAGTACGTAAGAATGATTTTCTTCCTCATCCGATATCGGATGTAGATGATTCTCCATGCCACGTGATAACCATATAGATGGTAAAAATTCTACAATCAGTCAGAAACCCTATCTGCGAACACAGTATTTCAGGCTCCTTGGATTTCATGAACTCATTAGACAACGTCAATGTATCAGGAAAGAAATCGACATCGTTAGATGCCACTTCTCCATTTACAATATTCCGCTCACAAAACCTATTTGCCTCTTATGAGGCTATATCGACCTTAACAAAGTTGACATAGGCGTTCCAAAACATTTCCTGAAAAAGCTACTCCTACTGTGGTGTTTGAATAAACTAATGACTCCTTGGTACTTGTTGAATGTTTGATTTCGAATTCTAAATACAGTACATTCGTTAGTGCTTGTGTAGTACTTCTTGATTCAATTACGTTATCCCTGGGATTATTAGTTCATACTATAATTCAATTACTTCTAATTATCATATTGGCGTCGCGATGGGGCCTGCGATGGAACAGTTAGATATTCATTCAACTTCTGAAGCTTTTGAGGACTATTTGGAAAGGTTTGAAATCTGGAGCATGACCAAGAAAGATGATGAGGATATTAATATTGTGGCACATTTTCCCACATTCATTGGAAAAGAAGCATATGGCTTATTAAAAATTTTGGCTTCACCGGAAAAGCCTATTTCTCTTCCTTATACAACTCTCAAGGAACTACTTCTAGACTATGCAAAGTATACAAATTTCGAATGCGGTAAAGGGAGATTTTGTAAAATAATACATGAGAATATAAAAAATTCCACTACATTACGTCACCCCATCCCAGTGCATACTCAAGGTTGTGCAGTTCACGAAGATGGGCACAAGTTTAGTCAATGTTTTTCTTGTGGCAAGTTCCACCCTTTTAATTCATGTAAATTTCGTAATTGTAAGTGCTTTAAATGTGGTGATGTCGGACATATTCAGTCAGTTTGTAATACTACTGTTCATCTTGCTGCAACTAATATTCAGTCTTTCGATTCTGATTCTATTAATCTGAATATTTATAATGATCATTTATCTTTATCGACGATTTCAAAAGACAGTTTAGAGTCATGTAGCAGTTCAGAGTTGAATGAAACTCAGGATCCTTGCGAGAAAACAATTCCTAATCAATCAACTTATCAGATTTCTCATGTTATTGTACTAGATATGATTTTTCCTAATGATTCACATATTTCTGATGAAATTTCTTACAAATCTGATGAGAATATTCCGGATGAACCTAATGATGATCAAAAAGCTGATTTAGTTTTGATAGATGCTGATTTTTCTAATGATTCTTTGCTCTGCAATGACATTCTTAATAAATGTGAGGAAAATACTTCAGAAAAATTCAATCCTGATGACGTCGTATCAAATGTTATTTGTCCTCATAATGTATTTGTTTCTTATGGGAGACCTGTTCAATGCGAAACACAAGTACTAAATGAGTTCGATTTTGAATACGATTCATATGATTTCACATCAACTGTTGTTTATCCTTATCATAAATTCACTTCCAATGTATACTCTAGTCAATGTGAGAAAGATGTTTTAAATAAAACCACATTATTCATAACTTGGGGATATGAAGATCCGACATTATTTCGTGGGGGAGGATAGTCTGAATGTCTATGGTTGAAATTCTAGGTAGCAGTACTTTCAGTACTCAACCGATATGATGATTGTACACAATCCTAGAAATCAAATAATACAGAGTCTTTATCCAATACATTGTCGGACAGACACAGCATGAACTTAAGAAGAACACGTACAATTGATTACAGACACTTAGACTCTAATTTAAGCTGTGGCGGATGTGGTGTTTGAATAAACTAATGACTCCTTGGTACTTGTTGAATGTTTGATTTCGAATTCTAAATACAGTACATTCGTTAGTGCTTGTGTAGTACTTCTTGATTCAATTACGTTATCCCTGGGATTATTAGTTCATACTATAATTCAATTACTTCTAATTATCATACCTACGCAACACTTTTAGTGTGCAATTTGAATTTAACGGTGATCTCTATAGATAAATAAATGGTGTTGCAACGGGATTTCCGTTGGGTTCTCTTCTATTAGATTGTTTTATGGGCAACCTGTAGAACACCACCCTTTAATCAACAATCGGTAATCTTTATTTTTATAGTAAATAAATGGATAATACATTTACCACTTGTGACGAAAAAAGCGACGTAAATAGAATATTACGAATGTTCAATAATTGTCACCATTTGATTATGTTCGCAAAAGAAGCGGAGATGAACTCGCAATTCCACTTTCTTGATATCCTACTGATAAGAAGATAATATAGGTCCCTACAATGACCAATAAACTTGTCTATTTTGCTGTAAAATAATTCATAAAACGATTACACACAAATACGATTGTACAGCTTTCAAAAATATAATCGTAAAGGAACTTTTCTTTGCTAACGCGTCTTCATTATTTTTGTTGAATTTATGGGCTTGTTTTGTTTAACTTTCACCAAAGATGAGAAACAGTAGAGTTTTGGACTTGCAATCAGTCTATCTGTCGCTTACAAACTTATAGGGATATGTTATAGAGATCGTTCTTACCGCATTTTGTCTATCATTATGACGTTTTAGCCCATTACAGTATAAAAATGGGAGTTTTACCTATTCTAGTTTCGAAACCAGCTAGGCTCCTAGAGCTTCATAAAAGGATATACTAAAGTTGAAAATCATAATACATATGGACCATCATTATCTGCGAATGGTTTATTTTTATTGGGAATCTAAAGTCATTTTATGCAAAAGTAACTGTAGATTGTTCTTTTCAAGATGTATGTCAAAATACTGGAGATTCTATATCAATATTTCTTAGACGCAGTCATGAACAATAACCATCTCAACATTTTTAGCACCCGTCAGTATGAAACAATTGAAAGCAATCGCTAAATGCTTTTATTTTTACCAAACAACTTGTAGAATTTATCTCGTTCAATTTGACTTTTTCTTCCAACATGCGAAACATTTTATATCTACGAATAATATCACTAAACCTAGTAACAGTTATGGTGAATCTACACTAGGTCCTCGAATAAAGGGACATTAGACGCTCCGTTGATTGAGAGTTAGTTATCTAACATTCACAATTATGGCAATAGTTTTTATTTTAACTCATCTTAGCCGACTTAATATTATGGTATACCTGTTTGTGATGTCCCACTATCCTTTCACTTGTCCCTTTTATTATCTTTGTATTTTCATACTCTTACAATATGCAAAAGTTTGAGACTGATTCCTAATCACTTCTGATGGCTGACAGTTAAGCTAAGCAAAATTGAAATACATTAAAAAACTGTCTGAACTTCTAAAGTGTAAACCAACTGTGCAATATCTTTGTATGAAATAGCAAAATAAACAATAAGACTAAAGGCTTTCGCTTTAAATATTCACGAAAACAAAGACTAGCTAGTCAGTTTCGTAAAATATGAAGTATTAAATCGGTGTTGCTCAGAAAAATTATATGATTCTTGTTAAAAAATATATTAGATGCTGGCAAATATTGTAACTTTGGTGTACAAATTTTACTGTTTTACCAGAACTATCCGTCAAATACGGTTGTTCAGTCGGCTCCACCAAGACTAACATCAGACCAACAACTTACCGTGAAGATGAAAAGTGATCAAAAATTTAATACTTCCCGAAATTTCAAACTAGGGAAAAACGAAATTTTTATGAGTGATTATAACACAAGGTATAAGTCTGAAAGTGTAATTATTAGACCCAAAGAGCAAGGAAATTTTTTAACCCAGTGGCGTCCTGAATCTGATCCATTGAGCTGGAGGGACATACAATTTACAACTATTGATAGTGAAGCCAGAGGAAAGAGCAGGTAGGTTAATTCTCATCAAAATAATTGTGTCAATGACACGTAATGTGTCTATAACGATAAATTTATCTTATAATTTAGTCTCGGCTGCCTGAAACTGGCAGCCCTGTAGTATCTAAGTGCCAGAAAAGTACTGCAAAAAATACACTAAATTAAATATTGGATCGGTATCTTATAACTCATGGTTTTACACTTTATAGTACTGATGCTGATTTTAACTGAAATGTACATAAATCCCACTAGTGAGCTTTGTTTGAACGTGGTTTCACTGAATTTCGTAAACGGCTGTTGATCGCATAACGTATCTCGTTTTTTTCAGACAGTAAGGAAAAAACATTGCTACTAATAGTTTTTCTTACTCTCAAAGTTTTCGTCTCTGATATTTGACTTGAAGTTATTCTTTTGCTGAAAGGAAGCAACTCGTGTTTATGCATAGATTAAGTTAAAATTACGTGGAATGTAATGTCAATGACGATATATTGAATATTCGTGCTCACAAACTCCTTAATGATGAACGTATATAAAAACCCAGACCTTTCTGTATATCTAAAACATAAATGTTAATGACCTAGACAAGCAACAGGGACAGTTACATAATCTGATCAATCTACATAACATGTATATTAAAGTATGTACGCATGTATAATCAGTTTAATCAGAGAAAATATTCAGTTTTCTGTATTATTTAAGGTTCATTTTACTAATATTGATCAATGATATATATATATATATATATATATATCGCTATCAAACAGTTAAACTTCATTTTGATTTTAATTTCAGGAACCGATTATGTGGAGCATTTAACGCAACATCGTTCCAGCTAATCTATGCACAATAAACTTGATTTTAATAAATAACTTTCACAGTGAAACATGCTTTCTGTTTTAAATGTTAGGAAGTAAAACCCGTTTATTCTACGAAAGACTGTACCTCGAAAAGAAATAATGAAGAATTAAGCGAATATATGTTTCAGCGACCTGTCATCTAACCACATAGAAGAATTATATAAAATGGATAATCATGGAATTTTAAAATGCTAGAAAGTATACTTGGTACTTGAAACCGCATATACATTTATTTTGTGGGAGATAGTATGGTTCAGAACGTAAAATTCATAACTACTATACTTGATCTAGTCCTCATATTATTCTTGTTTAACTTTCGGTTATCTGAGAATTCCATTTGCAGTTTCCTAATTATAGAAACTTAACTCTACATTTTTAGTTGCTTTTCACATTATTTTTAATAAACCAACGTTGTTAGCATACATGTTACAGAGTTTAATTTTAAAAACTATTCGAATTCACAATTGTTTAAAGTTTATGAATGAACTCCGCGAAAAGATGTTTTCACTCAACCAGTCTGTCTTGTTGTATGTTTCAACAAACATTTTCTTTTTTATCTTACTATAAATTATTAATTTCAAGTGATGGGATTATAGTGTAGAAGTTTAGTTATTGAAATTTGAACACAGATCACACGTAATCACTACTTTAAAGCTTTTTAACTACTTATAACGTTATATGATGTTAGAAAAATTCGACGTAATTAATATATAATCAATCAATTTACTTGTTTAACTGTTGGTGTAGGGATATCGTTAAAAGTGAACTTAACTAGGAACCTATATAATTTCTTATAAACAAAAGAAGAGATTTCAGAAAAGTCAAAGATACTTCTGTTTATTTTTATATTTATATTATCTCAATACAAAGCTTGGACAAAGAAAAGTGAACTGATAGAAAATAATAGTGGTGTTTGTAATATTTCCATTGTCGAATTCACGAACTCATCTGTAATAAACTACTACTGAAGAGCTAGAAGCACTAGACAGCCATTCATCCGAGTGTGGGAGTCCTCAGCAGTGCACACCCATGATCCAACACTTGGGACTCGAATCCAGGACCTACGGTCTCCCACGCCTTCCAGTTTTGGTCCAGCTCAGCGTTTTCAACGGCCAAAAAATTATACTTATGTCGCAAGAATTAGTGAGCAGTAAAACTTGTTTGATAAACGTATTTAGTTTCCAGTTAATTTGGTATGCTAATTGAAAGTTTGTGAATTTTCATTTTAGTTACATTATTTATTTCTTGAAAATACTAACTTTTGTTGCATGCACGCCAACATGTGACTTTGTTTTGATTAAAACGAGAAAGATCAGTAAATATGAAATGAGTCAAGTTAGAAGTTGTATATATTACGTTCATCACACATTTTTGTGAGAAAACTTAGCTAATATCTATATAGGTAGGTGTAGACTATGTGGTTGACGTCAGTGATTTTCCTGACCAACGGTTAGAAACCCAAAGATATGATAGACGGTCCCATTTTATGTAAATTCTAACGAAGCATGTTGTTAAAGCGATGTGCAAACGACATTAAATCGCTAAATACAACATAATAGAAAGGAACCAATCTTAAAATCTCACACTGATTTAAGATAATTTCGTTCACTTGATTTTTAGTACACTTTTATGTTCAGTAACTAATACAGTGTGAGTTCTATTCATTTGACACTGAGTACTCTTATTTGTACTGATTAATTCAATACAAATCTCATTCATCTTAACTTTCAATGTACTTTGGTAGTATTAATTGTTTCATTGTGATTTTTCATACAAAAGATATTTATTTAGTTCGATTACTTTTTCAACTAACAAAAGCTGAGAGTAACGGGTATGTAGTGATGTGAACTCGAAAGTTAGTTCATTAAGTTTGTGTTTCTCAATATAGCTGCTAAATCAACTTGGACTTTTTTCTCTAGTTATAGGACAGGGAAAGAGACAATCTAGTTCATCCCTACTGAAGTCGGAATAGCGAATTATTAGCTTAGTGAATGGTCGTATTACATCAGTAAAATACAAAGCCACATTACATTGCAAACAATAAATCTCAACAGATTTGAAACCTACTAAATGACTTGGGATTTATAAGAGTGCTAGAACGTATAATAATTAGTGATAATCAAAGAATAACTTACGATTTGGGGTACATAATTATACCATAAACTAATAGTCTTATAAGTGTTTAGTAAGAAGTCGTAAAACTAGTTCAGTAAAAAATAGCTAGGTATAACATTTTCTCGTTTTCACAGCTCGTACTAACTAAAAACCAATACTCTCATTTCAGTCAGGACACGATGCCGGACATGTAGGTGAAGACTGTTAAGTATTTAACATTCTATCACAATAATATCAGACTATAGAACAGAACGAATGGTGACTAACAGTGCAATTCTATGAATATGTTTAATCCTACTTGTCACTTGTCAAATTGATATGCTTGCAACCACTGAACTTAATGGACAAAGTGTTGGCATCCAAAGAGAGAGATAATGGAATGAAGTCCTAAATATGACCATCAAAATTGGGATACGGGCATATTCAACTGAATTGTCCCAAATATATCCTGAATTCCACTATTAGTTACAATCAATTTACTCCAAAAGACCTGTATCATGTCTACGTAGAGGCAATCTGCACATATACCACTAAGGACCGATCGAAATTTACTCGTTATCATCAACAAACATAATCCAAACCCTTCCTAATGATGTTATAAATCTGAATCTATACGCACTTACAATCAGATTGAGTGACTTAATTGTTATACACTAAAATATCTAATGTATAAATTGATTTCGTTAATATATTTATTCCATAACATAAAAATTACCAGTTATTACTGTTACTCAAAAAAAACAATTTATGTATATTTTTTAATAATCACAACTGCACACATTGTTGATTGTTATTCTCGATTTGAATTAAATGGTGCAAATCAAATTACACAATTAGAAATCAAGTTAAAAAGCAAAAAACAGAACAAATCACGATAATCTTTTCAAGAGTACAGGTCGAGCTTTGATTGGTGTTGAATTTTCATTTCTTTCCTTCTTCTTCTTCCCATTATTGTTATTATTATTTATATAAGAATGTCTTGATGTATGTTGATGAATTAAATTTTTAATTGATTCGCTTTCGGAATTATCAGATATTACCAATAAGTGGTTATTATTAGTAGTAAAATTTGTATTCTGGAACGGATTTTTAGAGACAGATTTTTCAGAAGAAATTTTAGTTAACCGACTAACATCAGAGAGCAACATTTTCTTAGGTGGTTCATTTGATTGTATATCAGACGAAGTGGCCAACTCTAAATTCTTTATTTAAAATAAATAGACAAAATCTATGTCACAATATTAAAACAGAAAGAATTGCAAAAAAAGTAGAATTTCGAAGTTTTAGCACGATAAGCAATCAGTTTTAACCTTCAGGTTGTATTCAAAGATTGATTTCAGTTGACGTACCACTAAAAATAGTTGCGAATTGATTAAAGTTGGAATTATACCATTAGATGCCGACCTAGTACTCCCGTTAGTTAAGCGATCACCAAGTGATCCGAAGCTGATGGGCTTCATATCTAATACGGTCACAAGTGCACACTGAACTGCACATACACAATACTCACTAACTTACACCAGTCACCCCTTACAAAGCATCATAGATCACACACCAGGATTCGTCAGCTAACTCTGTCTTGGGCTCTCCTTTCTAGTTATTTCCAATTGTTATTCACTCTCTTGATGTCTGCTTCTGATTAATGACGCAATGTATACTTGGGTCATCTTCTTCCCCTTTTCTCTCCAGTAGGAGGCACATACTTGCATGCAGTTCTTATTTTAAATGGTGGTTGGAGGTAGTCAACAGGAAACCCTGGACCCGGGTTTCGTGCTATTTGGCACTCGTCAGCAAGGTGTACCTGTAATCTTTGAGGGAACTGGTGCTCCCTGGCGGATTCGATCCCGTGTCACCCAGCTTCACAGTCAGAGACGTTACCACTGAGCTATCCGGGCCGCGACCGACCTCCTGTAGGACTGAGTTGTAATCACAATTGATTGATCAATGGGTGACAAATGTCATGCGAGTCTAGTCCTTATTATCAGTGCAGATCGAATGCTATCGATCATGTTGCAATGGAGCCACCAGTCTAGGTGATTGGACACCGCGGGCACTATTGTAAGATTAGATGGTGGTTGGAGGTAGTCGACAGGAAACCGTGGACCCGGGTTTCGTGCTATTGGCACTCGTCAGCAAGGTGTACCTGTAATCTTTGAGGACCATAGATCGCCCACCAGGATTCGTCAGCTAACTCTGTCTTGGGCTCTCCTTTCTAGCTATTTCCAATTGTTATTCACTCTCTTGATGTCTGCTTCTGATTAATGACGCAATGTATACTTGGGTCATCTTCTTCCCCTTTTCTCTCCAGGATCCCAAGTTGGGGCTTGCCGCGTGAACCAGTTTAATGTTTTTTCCAATGTATGTCCTATCCACTTCCGACGTATTTTCCTAATTTCCTCTACAGTCGGAATTCGGGTTTTTCTCTGCCACAGTGGATTGTTGCTGATGCTATCCGGTCAATAGTTATTGAGTATCCTGAGTATAAGACTGTTTGCACACACCTGTACCTTTTTTATTATGGTTGTAGTAGTTCTCCAAAGCTTCAGCTCCGTACAGTAGAACTGTCTTCACGTTCGTATTGAAGTTTCTGACTTTGATGTTGACTTGCAGACAGTTGTTTTGAGTTCCGTATGTTCTTCAATTGTAGTAATGCTGTCCTTACTTTGCCAATCCTTACCTTTACATCTGCACCAGATCCTCCTATCCCGGAGAGCTTTTCCACCAAGTGTGGCTGTATTGGTGTTCTCCGTGTTGTATTTCAGGATCTTGCCTTTCCCCTTATGTATGTTGAGGCCTACTGATGCAGAGACTGCTCCTACACTTGTTGTCGTCATCTGCAATTATTCGTGTGTATGGGATAGAGGGACCAGGTCATCTGCGAAGTCCAAATCGTCTAGTTAATTCCGAGCTGTCGATTTTACTTTGTGGTCCCTCTGAGATACAGAGGTTGACATAATCCTGTCAACCACCCGAAGGAAGAGATAGGGAGAGAGTAGACACTCTTGTCTGACTCCGGTCCTCACTTGGAATACATCTGTCAGCTGTCCTCTATGCACGAATTTGCAGTGTACTCCATCGCATGAATTCCTGATGTTAACAATATTCTCAGGTAAACCATAGTGTCGAAGATGGTCCCATGAGTTTCTCCTACCCACACTATCAAATGCTTTCTCATAGTCAAGGAGGTTTATGTACAGTGATGAATTCCATTGAATTGATCGATCCGTAGTATTGTGATTTGGTTTGTGCACGACCGATCCCTACGAAATCCGGTCTGTTGATCTCGAACCTGAGCGTTTACTAAGTTTTTCACCCGGTTCAACAACACTGTTGAAAACACTTCCGGGTACTGATAGTAGTGTGATGCCTCTGTGGTTTTCACATTTGCTCAGACCTCCTCTCTTTGGTCTCTTGGTAAGGTATCCTTCTTTCTAGTCTGTCGGCACTTGTTCTTCCACCCTAGATCTTCCTGAGTAGAACGTGGAGCATGTTTGTAGTTACTTCTATGTCTGACTTCAGTGATTCCGCTGCTATGCTGTCTGGTCCTGCTGCTTTCTCACTCGATTTGTCTGATGATCATCCTTATTTCTTCGATGGTTGGTGGGGTGGTATTTTGGGATTGTCTGTGTGTGCTGTGTCAATGTTCTGTGCGTTTGATGGGGCTAGTCTATTTGAGTCTCATGTTAGAACGAAACAATTTCCCCGTGCTCTCTCTCAACTTATATCAGTGTGTGATAAATACAACTTACTATATTAGATGATTAAAATCGGCTGTTGGCTGTTCATTAAAGGGATTTTATAATTTCTTGTAGTTGTTATTCAGGAATTTGTTTGATCAATCTGTGTTGGCATACAGGTTAACTGAGTGGATGCTTTAATGTTGTTTGTAACTAAAACTTGACCATAATACCTAGCAGTGAAGTTCAGTAAGTTTTGTCTCATTTTGAATCTTAGAATCAATCGCAGTTTAACAAAGAAATAAATCATACCATTTGTTAGCGATATCACCTGTGGAGTATATGAGTACCTAAACACTGCAGCTACAAATAGAAAATCTATGGTTGTGAATAAATACTAACCTTACGATCTTAATCAACGGAGTCATTCATGTATGCCATTCGACCGCACTATTGTACTGAAAAAAAATTTTTCCAGTACCTTTACTACCCACCTAGCACCAACAGAGCTATAAAAATGTCTAATGATATTTCTAATTGATATAGTCTGTTAAATACCATGGACCATAGTTCAAAAAGATTTAGTTGGGAAATCTGATATATATATATATATATATATATATATATATATATATATATATATATATATATATATACGCTTACTTGTATTGGTTGATGGAAATCAGGTGAAGCAAATACACCAACATTTGTTTCGTAAAATAATTTATTAGATGCTTTACGAAGATTACGTGCTAATCTTGAATATGCGTATATTACGAAAAAGATACCAAATAAAAAAAACCCAAGACTGCCTCCAATAAAAATTGAAGGTGAAATTAAAAGATCTGATCTACAAAGTGGAAAAGTTGGAAAGAGATAAACATTTGATAAATAAAAACTAAAATCTATACGCGAAAAACTTTACCTCTTCTTTTGGTAATGATATAATAAACGATAAATTAAATCTAATTGAACAGTTCCGACAAATATTTTAGCAACCTACATAAAGGATTAGCAGGAGAGATAGAAACAGTAATATAATAAATTATATAATTCATTCACCAAGCAAAAGTTTGCGCATTCCGCTTTAGACTAAAATTTACCTATGTGTTAAGGCTGCCGTTTGATTTTGCCCTTTAGTCAACCATGAAAAGTGATGTTTCGAAATACGATGGTGTACTTGTTTAGCAGGATCAGTCGAACTGGGCGGCTGAAAAAAGGACTTGACCTTTTTGCACTACTTTCTTATTCTAAGGGATTTCCTAAACGTTGTATCACTATTCGACCTTCATAAGTCCTAAGAGTAAATAACTCCTGCCTCGAGAACCAAGTATTTGACTAGATTTCAGGTTTGGTCGGAACAGTGTTTACGCTATATCTAATGTTCATGAAATTATAAAAGCAATTCAACAAGGTAAGCCTAAGTCTCTCTACATTCTTGTCAATAAGAGGTATCAGACTTTTTGTATGTCGATTGATCTGCCATGATTTCTTTGATACGGATTTTTTACTCAACTGTAAACATGCAAAAGTAACAGTTCCTGTACTACGATAAACCCAAAACTAAATATGGTCTGTTTTGCTGGATATTTATCAGTAGTTTTTGGCAATTCATTATGCCAGTGCATCTTTTGAAACATTTTATAAACAATAACAACTTTACGAATTTAATCCCTAGAAGACTGGGCATATCTTGTAGAACAAAAACATTCAGTATTCCATGTAAAATCATAGGTATGAAAAGTTTCAAATTTATATCCGTAGCAACTTACTGTACGATATGAATTCCCGATCTACAAGTAAAATTATTACAATATAAGAACATAAGAGAACGTAAAATACTACACGACTTATTAGAGTATGGAGTAAAGCAATTAAATATCAGTAAAACCCAGCTATATAAACTTTGATTTCGGTTTCAAGGGGATAATCGTAGAGTTCATGAGTTATAAAAAATTGGCAGTTAAAAATGAACTTGACCGTTGTCATTTAATAAACTTCGGAAAAATTAAATAAAGATTTTGAACAAATGATTACATATGCAACATAAGTTTATAAAGATTTTTAGTGGGTTTGTTTTTCATTGGCAAGGTGAATATCAGACAAAAATACTTATCATATAACAAATTCCTAATCTAATACTATGGACCGACTTTATTAAATAGTAAACACAGATGAGATTTCATGGAAAAAGATGGTGAAGTGCATACTGATAACACGAAACTGTCAAATCATGTCTCAAAATGCTTGGAAATCAATGAGCACTCACTGTCGTTTTCACGACTGCTTTTTTGACTACACGCTTCGAGGTTACGTTATTGGCAAGTTCCTGATCATAAAATGTTAAATTCGTTATTTCCAACTTTATGACTAATGACAAACGGATTGCATGAGAACTCAAATAACAACTTTCTTGAGTGTACGTTTCACTAATTAAATTAACTAAAATATGCAGTCGTACTAAACAGAATCAAATCACAACAGGGTTAAATGAAAGCAAGTGGATTGGAATAATAGTATTATTGGATTAACACTAGGATTAAACTTTTTAATAATTGCATTGGTACTGGTTCTCAAGATCAGTATCCATATTATGATGAATTAAAATCAGTATTTCAATAGACAGGTCAAATACAATGAAGTGAGTTCAAACTGTCCAGAGTGTTAACCAAACAATGTACGTCGAGCAATTATATACCAACAGAATAATGAAGTAGAAATAATAGATAGATAGACAGATAAACGTTTATTAAAGTCATCCACACAATTAAACTAATAAAATCGAGCTAAGGAATTTAGCTATCACATGTTTGGTCTGAGTATATTGTTCTACGAATTCCAAATGACTGTATCAATCATCACAAAAAGTCAGAACTCCTGAATGTATTATTTTATCACATCATCAAAATTTAAACACCGTTACTAATTACACAGAAAACAAATAGTTTCCACAAGTATAGCAAAAGATAATCCATATAAACCATCTTCAATTAGTATTTAAAGCATTCAACTCCAGACTACTGAGTTCTAGGGATAAATTCCACCCCATTTACTTCAGTTTAAACATTCCTTACACTATTTCGAAAGTCTTCAACCAGCTTGTTAGCTTAAGTGCTTCTAATTATCAAAGCGTAACACCAGAGTACCTTAAAAACACGTGACAATATACTGTCCTGACCGTTGTTGCTATCTTGACGTGGTGGTCGGGCTTGCCTATCGTGATGAAGCAACTGAGCTATACTGGCTGGAACAACCGTTCCTCAAGGTCCTACCATGCCAGACAGGTCGGTTGAAGAGCGGTAAGACTAAAAGCAACAAAACCAAGGTCCGAAGGTGAAGTCGTACTGCTGACTGTACAGAAGTGTGACAGCAGTAAGGTGTTTCCTTCAGACAACCAGCATAACAGCGATGCTGCCTTCCCAAAAGGAGGGGTGGGGTTAGAAAAGGTCGACCCTAAAAATGAACACCTCGCCTTATCCCATGGATATCCGTCTCCAGCAGAACCCTTCCACGGTGTGGGCAACCGGGAAGTGATAACCGCCCTCATACCTCTAACAGCACTCAAGACCACTGTATTCATAATCAACTTACCTCTTCAATTCCTATTATTCCTCTTACATCGACTTTCAAATCTAAACTCCCTCTTTTAGCTTCCTCCTCAAGTGTCACCACAGCCAACGATTCTTGTGCGCAAAACGCTGTCCCAGGTCTACTGAAACCTCGCTCTAAACTACACATTGGAGCCTTCAACGTACGCACACTATACCAAATCGGTCAGCAGGCTTCCTTGGCTAAAACTTTAGAATCTCGTACGATTGATGTATGCTGTGTCTCCGAAACACACATACAGGATCCTAGTGTGGTCATTCACTTGACCTCACCTCGGCAAAACGGAGTGCCGACGAGATACACCCTCCGTGTATCTGGCGACCCGATGGCTAGTTCTCGTGGACTTGAAGGTGTAGGCATAGCACTAAGCATGAGGGCGGAACAAGCGCTATTAGAGTGGATCCCCGTTAATAGTCGTCTATGCGCTGTTCGGCTAAACGGCTCCGTAAGAACTAGAAAGGATAGGGACACACGTCGTTGTCTTTTCGTCGTTTCTGCCTACGCTCCTACTGACTGCAGTTCGGATGAAGTGAAAGATGAGTTTTACAGAAAACTCTCTGAACTTCTTCAGAAAGCTAAACGTTCAGACATAGTACTCGTAGCAGGTGACTTTAATGCCCAGGAAGGTAGCTTAAACGAAACAGAAAGACATTTAGGTGGGTATTTTAGTATTCCGGCACAGAGAACAGATAATGGTGACCGTCTGCTGCAACTTTGCTCAGACAATCGTTTATTTTTAGAAAACACAAATTTTAAGCATAAGGAGAGACATCGTCTAACATGGCGACCCCCTGCACCAAACCAACGATGGACTCAAATAGACCATATTGCTATCAGTCATCGTTGGAGAGGGTCAATAGAAGATTGTCGCTCATTCTGGAGTACCTGCTTGGACTCCGACCATGCCCTAATACGAGCACGCATCTGCTTGCGCCTCACTGGACGCAAAAAAGCCACACAAAAAAGACCCATTAGAACCGAATTGAGTAATGAGAAAACCAAAAGTAGGTTCCAGGAACAACTGAGGTCACACTTAGGTAGTTCTGAAAACGAGGCTGACCCAGATGTTGATTGGAAAGACATACAAGCAGCTGTGGAAACAGCAGTGACATCTACTGGTGATTTAAACCACAGGGTTACAAAGAACCAATGGATTTCGTCAAGGTCTATTGCACTGATAGATTCTCGTAAACTCATCCCATCAGGCTCTGAACACGGTGAAGAACGAAAACTAATCGGATCTAGGTTGAGCGAAAGTCTGAGGAACGACCGTGAGCAGTGGTGGGCAACGAAAGCAAAAGAGATGGAAAAGGCAGCGGCTATAAGGAACACAAAACAACTCTACAGACTAATAAAAGAAACTGGAATTAATAAATCAAGTGTAAGTCAGACTATTTCCGAAAAAGACGACACTCTCATCTGCTCCCAGTCCAAACGTTTACAACGATGGGCGGAACATTTTAAGGAGCAGTTCAGTTGGCCTTCAGCTACTCTACAACTACCCTCTATTCCCAGACAGTATGAATGGAACATTGAAGTAGGTCCCCCAACTCTAGCTGAAGTCCAAAAGGCTATAGCTAATCTGAAACGAGGAAGGGCAGCTGGTCCAGACAGATTGGCCCCAGAGGTCTTTAAGGATGGTGGTCTAGTTTTAGCGATTAGGTTGACTAATATTTTAGCTAAAATCTGGGAGTTAGACGTTATCCCATCTAACTGGTCACAATCACTTATCGTCCCAATATTTAAGAAAGGGTCAAAATCATCCTGTGACAACTACAGAGGGATTAGTTTGACTAATATAGTATCTAAAATACTAGCTTCGATAATTTTCGGACGCCTAACTAAGACTCGTGAGCTGCAAACATGTGAAAATCAGGCTGGCTTCAGACCTGGTCGTGGCTGCATCGACCACATATTCACCATTCGTCAGGTTCTAGAACACAGGCATACTTATCGGCGTCCGACAATAGTGGTCTTCCTTGATTTAAAAGCAGCGTTTGACTCTGTTGACCGAGAGGTTCTGTGGCAGTGTCTGTCATTGAAAGGCGTACCTCAGAAGTACATAAACCTTGTGAAAGCTCTTTACTCGAACACTACTAGTCGAGTGAGAGCTTATGGCGAACTGTCATCTGCTTTCGCAACCTCAAGTGGCGTCCGCCAAGGCTGTCCACTTTCTCCATTTCTGTTCAACTTCATCATAGATCTACTGATGGAAATAACGCTCTCATCGACTGAATTCTCAGGTATTGATCTCCTACCAGGAGGTCCACTTATTGACTTAGAATACGCAGATGACATAGTCCTGTTTGGTGAAGACGCTGATGAAATGCAGTCTTTTGATAGCACTGAGCAACAATGCCAGAATGTTTGGGATGCGCTTCTCTCCCTCTAAATGCAAGTTGTTGCTTCAGGACTGGTCTGCGTCAACACCTGAACTTAGGATAGGGAATGAAGTAGTCGAAATTGTTGACAACTTCACTTATCTTGGAAGTCTGATCAGCACTAATGGGTTGGTGTCTGACGAAATCTCTGCACGGATTCGAAAAGCTTATTTGGCTTTTTCCAACTTACGTCACCTATGGTGAAGGCGAGATATCCGTCTATCAATTAAGGGACGAGTATACTGCGCAGCAGTTGGTTCCGTTCTACTATACGGCTGCAACCATGGCCTTTAAGAGTAGAAAATACTCGTAAGCTACTAGTATTTGACCACAGATGCCTTAGAAATATTGCTGGTATCTGCTAGGATCACCGGGTATGTAATAGTGAGGTTAGACGCAGGGTATTAGGGAATGATGGTAAATCAGTTGATGAGGTTTTGAACCTTCATCGACTGAGATGGTTGGGCCACGTGCTGCGTATGACTAAACACAGATTACCACGACGCGCAATGGTAACCGGTGTTAGGGATGACTGGAAGAAAGTTAGGGGCGGCCAAACCAAAACGTGGCATCAGTGCTTGAAGTCACTAACTTCTGGTCTGAGCCATGTTGGTAGATGCAGACTACCTGGTTGAGGTCCGCGTGACTATCGTAATCAATGGTTGGAGACTCTTGGTGACATCCTGCTTCGGTTTGGGCACCCGGGCAGTATCTCAGCCCACGCACTAAAACCATGATGATGAACAATTTGCTTATGGAAAATATTCCTTTCTATCTGATTAACATTGAAATAACTCGTACTATTATCATTATCATTATTATTATTACTCTTCCACGTCAATTATTCACCCTCTCTTATTCCTACTTTATGTATCCATTTCAACCTAGACAGCAGCTCGCCTATGGTGAAAATTCAGCTTTATCTAAACGTTCTCGAGTCACTGCCTGGTTGAAAATTGTATGTTACCACCGAATACGATTACTGAAGCAGTTTTCCTGAAACCACGTGCACCATTCAAACTGGCTGCCTTCAACGTTCGCACACTTATGCAGGTCGGACAACAGATAGGGCTGGCTATGTCTTTGGAAAGTCTTAATATCGATGTGTGTTGTCTATCCGAGACCCGTATTCAAGACTATGGTGAAGTACTACAAGTTCGCTCTCCATCTGTCGCTTCAAAAAGCTTGTTTTATGTGCGTTCATCCGGGGACCCTGTGGCATCTTCGTCTGGTCTTGCTGGCGTTGGTGTCGCACTAAGCACTAGAGCTGGGGCAGCACTAATCGATTGGATCCCTATTAACAGTCGGTTATGTGCTGTTAGATTAGAAAGTTCCATCAAAGTGAGAAGAAATCGGCGTGAGAAACGATGTCTTTTCGTCATCTCCGCCTATGCCCCGACAGAATGCAGCCCGGATGCAATCAAGGATGAATTCTACCACCAGTTATCTGTTCTTCTCCAGAAAGTGCGTTCGACAGATATTGTTGTACTAGAGTTGTTTAGGTGGTCGACGGGGACTTGTTGGTGGCAGGACAGATAACATGGAACGTCTAATGCAACTATGCACAGACCACAACCTGTTTCTGGCTAGCACTAACTTTCGGCACAGTCATCGCCGATGTACCACCTGGCGTCCCCCTTCTGCATCTCAAGCCTGGACTCAGATTGATCACATCGCGATCAGCTACCGCTGGCGCGGTTGTGTACAAGACTGCCGCTCCTTTTGGAGTACCTATCTGGACTCAGATCATGCCCTGGTCTGTGCCAATCTTACCTTACTTTTCAGTGGACAACGAAGTGACCGCCACCAAAGGATTGATGTTAGCAAGCTGGCTGCAACTTCTGTTGCTAGTATGTACCGAACCGAGCTAGCTACTAAGCTAACTACCATCCCACCGAAAAGTATGAATGAGCATTGGTTGCAATCGCATGACGCCATGAAAATGGCGGGTCAAGTCAGTTGTGAGTTTGCGAAACGTCCCGCTTACAAGCACTGGGTTTCTTCTGGTTCCTTACAACTGATTGAAGCCCGTCGGTCTACTCCGGGTGACTGTGAGTTCGACCACAGACGAAGGATGTTACGTAATGAAATCGGGCAAAGCTTGCGTAAGGACCGAGAAGCCTGGTGGTCGGAGCGTGCCAGTGAGTTGGAAGCAGCAGCTGCATCTGGTAATTACCGGAAGCTCTTCCAACTCATCCGAGCCACTGGCAGCAAGAAATCTGGTGTGAGCGAAACAATCTGCGAGGATGACGGAACGCCAATCACTAACATCCATCGACGTCTTGGACGATGGGCAGAATTCCTTGAAGGGCAGTCCAACTGGCCTGCTGCTCCGGCAACATCGGTCAAACTATCCTGCCCTCCATGGCCGGTGACGACTGATCCACCAAATGAGGCGGAAGTCCGCAAGGAACTCCAACTCTTGAAACGTTACAAATCACCGGCCCAGACGACTTACCTCCGGCTCTTTTTAAAGATGATCGTGACTTTCTGACTAAGGGACTGACGACGTTGTTTACAAAGATCTGGGAACTAGAGAGTGTACCAACGTCATGGAATGAGTCGATAGTTGTCCCTATCTTTAAAAAGGGTTCACGTTGTTCCTGAAACAACTATCGGGGGATAAGTCTACTTCCGATTGCGTCCAAGCTATTGGCTTCCGTCATACTTCGTAGGTTGTTCAGAACCCGAGAAGGATTGACTCGCGAGGAGTAGGCCTGGTTTCGTTCTGGTCGAGGATGTATTGATCATATCTTCACCCTCCGCCAAGTGTTAGAACACCGCCATACTTATCAAAGGCCAACAATCGTAGTGTTTCTTGACATAAGCGCTGCCTTCGATTCATTCGATAGGACTGTTCTCTGGGAGTGTCTATTGAAGAAGGGTGTGCCTCAGAAGTTTATTAACATCCTAAAAGCCCAATACACAAACACCTCAGGCAGAGTGAGGGCATACAACCACCTTTCCCCACTATTCCATTCGAGCAGTGGAGTTAGGCAGGGTTGCCCAATCTCACCATTCCTCTTCAACTTTGCCATCGATGACATTCTGGAAACAGCTCTGACGGATGTAAGTAATGGTGGTGTCGATCTGTTACCTGGAGAATGACTTCTCGACCTTGAGTATGCTGATGATATTGTCTTACTGTGCGAGAATGCCCAAGCTATGCAATCCGCACTTAATCAGTTGGCAGTGTCCGTAGGTATGGTATGTGCTTCGCACCCTCGAAGTGCAAAGTACTTCTACAAGACTGGCAGGATTCTAATCTTGTACTCACTCTGGATGGTGAGCAGATTGAAGTAGTCGAGAAGTTCGATTATCTGTGTAGCTGCATAAGTGCTGGTGGTGGTGTGAGTGATGAGATCAATGCACGTATAGTGAAAGCCAGAGCGGCTTATGCCAATCCGGGCCATCATTGGCGCCTTCGTGATGTTAGTCTGGCTGTAAAAGGTCGGATCTACAACGCGTCGGTGAGAGCAGTTCTGCTCTATGCTTGTGAAACCTGGCCTCTCCGAGTTGAGGATGTTAGACGACTCTCTGTGTTCGATCATCGTTGTCTCCGAAGGATTGCTGGCATCTAGTGGCAACACCATGTCAGTAATGCAGAGGTTCGACATCGAGTGTTCGGTCACAGAGACGATAATGAAATTGGTGTCACTATCTTGAAACACCGACTTCGGTGGCTTGGACATGTTCTACGAATGTCGTCCCAGAGAATTCCACATCGTGCATTATTTGCCGACTCTGGGACTGGTTGGAAAAAGCGGAGAGGTGGTCAGTATATGACATGGTGTCGTGGTATGAAAGAAAGCTGCAAAGGGCTAGCTTCTGTTGGTCCTTCACGACTCCCTAGTTGGGGTCCGAAAGATGGTGTAACGCAGTGGCTAGAGACGTTATCAGATATGTCTCAGAATAGAAGCCAGTGGCGATCCTGCTGTAACCTTATTTTACTTTCTTCATAAAAAGTGGTTGTATCTTCCTTAACTGAAAGATCTCTTCTGATTGTACCTTTCCGTTTTCCCCATCATTGTTCTCTCTCTCTCTTTTTTTTATTTATCCCCACGTTCATTACTTTTTTTTTTCTCTTTTCTCCTTCTCTTCAAATTATTATTGTTTTGTGTGGCGCATATATATTTGGTGCCCCCCTGTACCAATATTTATGTGTTCAAATAAATAAATAAACTTGGTGACATGGTTCAGAATTGATCACAATGGCGTCGGTGTATACACTCTCTGTTTACCTTTAAACTAAGAGATTAAAATCACTTCAAATCTTTCTTTCTACGAACTAATTCTATCTTCCTGTACTATCTCCTTATACACACTCTTTCTTCTATATATTACCACCACTGCATTAACTACTTCTATCAATCTGGTGTTCATCCTGTTGTGCTAATGTGGTATGGCAACTTGGACTGATGCATGTATGTGCCTGGTCCTACGTTGCAGCTGACTGACTGACAATATACTGTGACATACAACAATTGGAGCTTTTATAGGCTGAATTTTCATACCTCTACTTAGCACATGTAGCTTTCAAATCTTTAAGTGAAGCATTACAATCTTCTTTAGAAGCTAATAAAAACAGCTACTTTTAAAGCTTTTTTGAATTTTTCGAACCCACTATTGACAGTCCTGTTTCTCTAATTAAAAATTCACAAGGTGTTTATGAAGAATTATCATCTCATTAGCCATTCACAGCATCCTCATATGGACGATCTGTGTCCAATAATCCCCAATATTGAGACTTCAGTGGGTCGTATTGCAACGCTAGGATCTAAAGATTTCAGGTTCTTGAGTCAAATAATGGATTCTGTACTGTCTGTGTCCAAAATAAAGTCATGAAATGAACCGAGTGCATACAATCGCTTTTGAATAAGAACGTTACCTATCGAAATGGTGGATAAAGATAAATGATCATTAGGAACAGCCAAATTAATGGGATCTAAATTACAAGGTAGAGTACTACTTGAAGCAAAATGAATAGTAGTTTTGCATACCCAGTGAATGTATCCTATCTTAACAAATTTAAAACATTTAGCATTATGTACTGCACATGAATTACGAGAAAGAAATTCGCCACAGGATATAACATTATGAAGACCCAATGTTTGAACGATACCAAAATTGGTCTTTGAGACGATCAAGAATTCAAAAAGAAAGTGACTTACGAGAACTCAGTGGATGTACAACAATATTGCTGTGGAGGTGCTCCACAACAAAATATTCGCTCGCCCTCGAAAGAGCTGAACTTTTCATTTAGCGATGTAGGGCACACAAAATATTCATAAATTTGACCATTAAAATCCTTTGGAGACTGACAGACACCGTACTGATCTACAATATATAGAATCTTAAATTTACATATTATGATATGAAATACACACACAAAAGTTCAACATCAGACCCTTGTGACTTCAGGAAGCTTGGTATATACACGAAATTCAACGAATGCATTTCACCGTACAAACGCTTTTTATGATCATTGGTTCTGGCAACGTCACAATAAAAGCTAACTTACATTCCACCATACCGCAAAAGAACTTCATGAGGAACCAAATAACTAGAACGTTTTTGGTCCATTGCAACGTCGTTCAATGAGATAGGTTGTTTTCAACTTAGTATACACAAATTATTGTGTTGTAGTAAGTAAAGTAAGCAACTCAATCAGTTGGTGGGAACTGCCGTTTGATTAAATCCCCCGATGAGATGTGCATATATTCACTGTTCAATTATCTTCTAACTAGCTGTAACTGCCTAATTAAAGGTATTCATCTATCATCTGAATTTTAAACCAAACCGTTACAAAAAAGTTCAAGCAACCCGCGGTTCATTCCCATGGTGCAATCTACAGTACAATGCACATGTATGTCTCTACTCAACTTCTGCTTGAAAAAAACAGAAAGCTGTGTGGAGTTGTTATTCCTGAAAATAATGATCTTTCAGTTTGTCAAACTTATTTCTTATGAATCAACAGAGAGATATTCAGCCATCATTATAGGTAACGGGTTCCATGATTTTAGGTTTCTACCTGGAAGTCGATTGCCAGCCAACGATAACTTGTTCTTTGGTTATGACGTTTTGGAATTACCTTGCAAATTCCGTTCGGTAAGGCAAGAAGAACGAAGGTATATCAGGTGTAAATTTGTTATCGCTAGAACTAAAAGTTATAGGCTGACCAAACTGAGCTAAGATATCTCAACAACAACAGGCGCTGGAATTTCAAACGGTTGAATGCGTCAGCTCTACAGGACTATCTACGACAGGTGCATCGGGATGTTCACCCTCGACTTGATGTGGATGCTCGTTGGAACTTCCTATTACACACGCTCTTATGTGCTACAAAGCAATCAGTCCTTCGAACGGTCCCCAAAAGCCACATGCAACCTACAATCATCAAAAATCGCACTCTTCGTTTGTTAAGCCGTAAAAAGCACTGTTGGGCAGAATACAAACGAACCAACAACAATGGCGAGTACAGGCAATACAAACATATAAGGAATATATGTACGAACGATATAAGAGAAGACAGGCTTCAGTACCAGTTAAAGAATATGGATAGATTTATTTCCAATCCGAAAAGCCTATTCTGTTAGGCAGCCTCTCTTCGTCAAGCCAAAACTGAAGTTTTTCAACATCTAGGTCCTAACGGCCCGACCGATAATGACGGTGACGCCACTAACCTCCTGGTTGAGCAATACTCCCGGACATTTCAACCGTCCCACATCAACTATACGGATGATGGCTCTATCTGCAGTTGCACAGGACTTTCCGTAGTGAAACTGAGCGCTGACTTGGTGTTTCGTTAATTACAACACCTAAGAACAGACACTTCTCCTGGTCCAGACATGGTCCACTCTGCTATACTGAGGGAAGCAGCTTCAATCCTGGCAACACCGCTTAGCGTGATGTTCCCACACTCGCTAAGTCAAGGCAAACTACCGGATATTTGGAAGATGGCTCATATCACACCAATCTTCAAGGGAGGTCGACGCAGTGAAACTTCAAGTTAACGACCGGTGGCTCTTCTCTCTATGTCTTCAAAAATCATGAAGTCCCTGGCTTACGATGGTATACACGACTATCTGCTGTCCTTACATTTCTTCTCACCCTAACAGCATGGTTTCAGGAAGGGTTACTCCTGTATGACGAACCTGCTGACTGCGGTGGACAGATGGACAAGCATCGCTGATCGCAAGGGGAAGGTGGACATCATTTACCTTGATTTCTCGAAAGCTTTTATAGGGTTCACCACATCTATCTTATTAGCAAGCTCAAACATTTGGGTATCAAACCTCCTTTAATTGACTGGCTCAGTTCATATCTGACAAATCGACATTTTAATGTCAGGGTAAACTTTAATTTCTCAAAGGCTATGGAATGTCCTAGTGGGGTCCCTCAGGGCTCAGTACAAGGACCTCTCCTCTTCCTGATTTATATAAATGAATTTCCTCAACAGGTAACGTCAGACATATTGCTCTTTGCCGATGACGTGAAAATTTGGAGAGAGATACGCAACCAAGGGGACATACAGGCACTTCAGTCGGATGTGACTTGACTTCAAAGTTGGGCAGACGATAACGGACTTACCTTTAACACCTCAAAGTGTAAAGTAGTCCATCTGCGACATGTCGCAGATTACAGTTACAACACAGGAAACTCCTCTCTAGTAGTATCCCGAGTCGAAAAAGATTTAGGAGTTCTGGTGCCCTACGACTTAAAGTCTTACGCCAACTGTGACAGAAATGCCTTTCGGGCAAATCTTGCACTGGTAACATTGAAGCGCATTCTTGGTCAGTTTGACGAAAGGACCTACCACATAATCTTCAACAGTTTTATTCGTCCCCATTTAGAGTACGAAATATAGTATTCCTTACTACACTCCAAAAGGATAAGGACACTCTGGAGCGTATCCAACTGCGAGCCACGAAATCAGTTCGAGGACTCAAATTTGAACCTTACGATGAGCGCCTCCAATCACTCGACCTCTACCCATTAGAGTATAGGCGTCTTAGAGGTGACCTCGTAATGGCTAACAGTATCCTTAACACTTCTGGACTTCCTCTTAAACACCTACTTAAGCTTAGTCCCAACACTAACCTAAGGGGTAACACTTAGAAATCGGAGACAAAACATAGCAGGACGGACTGTAGACACAACTTCTACTCCTTAAGAGTTGTCAAATGCTGGAATTCGCTGCCGGCTGAGCTAGTCCGAGCAACTTCCCAGGAGTCCTTTAAGAAGCGACTTGATCTATTCTTAAGGACTATGGATAGTACCTTACTATGATTTACCAATTCATTGTTTTTTCTCTTTTATCGTTAATATACCTAGGTTCTTGCCTGGAGGTATTCATCCCCTGCTACTAAACACGGAAGCCTGTTATGCGAAAGCTTCTTCTATTCCGTCCACAACCATTTGAACCATTTAATGTCTAAATATTACTGGAAATTTTCAACAGCCAATTATGACAGGTTCTGACGAATCAATTTTTTCGTATAGCTGAAATGTTTTTAAGTTTTGTACAGCATTTTAAACAATTTATAGGACAGTCTTACCTGGTTGATACATGTTTAGGTTTCATGTCAATGGAAGATGTATGCATTCATGAATTTTATTGGGATGGTCAGCCATCATCCCTTGATGTTTAACCTTTAACTTGTCATACTTTGAAATCTTAGTGGATTTTATCTAAGGACAAAGTGATCTATATTTATTTTTTGATATTCAGTGCTGTTAAAATTAACTACGACCTTGAATTACAGACAAATTTTGATGGTACTACAAGGTGCGTGAAAAATTTCAATACTTTTTGTGTCGATACTAAGAGACACTCTAAGCTAGACAGCCCAAACACGGTCATTGAAACTTCAGAAAATTTCCATCTAAGACTAAATTAAAATGTCACTAACAGACAACACGCATTTGTTTACTCATTACAAGTTCTTCTAATAACCGATGTCTTTGAGAAGCGAAATATATCACGGCACTGCATTTCTCTGAGGCTGCATTTCGGTCTTGACCCCAATAATGTAAACGCAGAGCTCTGTTTGTATGGAATTTTCCACAATTCTTTCACCATTCGCTTAAACAAGTTCAGGAGTTTAAATCGTTTCCCTTATACATTAGATTATGGATCACTAGAAAAAAAAATTAAGGTGTGATTTGTACATACATGCGAAACCGACACTACCCTAAGCTCATTGTGGAACATAACATCCGACAGAACATTTGAATGTCTATGAATAATCTTATTTTTATTGGCCACATTTTTCATGTTTAGGACTGGTTCGACTACCCTATATGTCTGTCCGTATAACTTACACTTCTTTGGTAGGCCATATTTTTCAATACCCGTTATTCATAATTCATGATCACGTCGATCTGGAAATACTTAAAACACATTGAATAACGACATTTAATATCTAGATACAGGCATAGGTTAAATGACATCCCCTGTTAAAAAATTACCTCGCTTAATTTTACAGACCACTGAAGGGCAGAAGAGTATCTGAATAGCACGGATTGGCTCGCTAATTTATACGTTTCCTTGAATGGTGAGACTACAGTTTATGGATAACTCAATGGAAGTAAGAATAGCATGTCTTGAGTTTTGGCGGGAAACTCATTGATCCACAACGTTAACTAGCATTTTAGGATTATAGCTGGTATCAGCCCATGACGAAAACTCCTATTTGAATAAATAACCTTGAATTCTAACCCATAAACACACATCTCAGTTCCACATGTTATCCGACAACCCTACTTTCACCACAGAAAGTACGTGAGTTATATTTAGGTCAGTTGATTGTCGCTCAAGGTGGTTCATAATTATCGTGCGAATATTATCATTTGTTACTTGGTATCTTGTAGCTGAACGAAATATTTGCCCTGTTTTTGGTGTCTCCCATTTAAGGATAATAGCAGTATTATTGTACCATCTATTTTCAATGCAGCTTGTGTAGGCCTGGAGTCAATTGTAACGACGATTCTTCTGTATGCAGCGGAAATTTGCAGTATTACAACATTCGTCATCCAGAAGGTGAAAGTTTATTAACAGCTGCCCATACAAAATACTTCGGATCTGTTGGCCGAAAACTTTTAGTAACAACCTACTGTGAGAGAGAACTAGTCGGATACCAGAGGAGGAAGAAATAAGGAAGCGCTGGAAGTGATTAGGACAAATATGGAGGAAAGCACTCAACTGCATCACAAGGCAAGCTCTCACATGGATTCCTCAAGGGAAGAGGAGGATCAAATATATATTACGCTGAGGAGAATGAACAACAATTGGACAGAATCAGAAAGAAAGTCCAGCACAGAGTGGATTGGAAATAACAGGCTTAAGTAATTAAAAATTAAGCTATTCCGAATCTTCTACACCTGAGTATAATTCAAACTTGGCTTCAAAGTATTTTAACGAGTAAGTGAATGAGGTATGTCACAAATGAAGGCGAAATAAACTCACTAAGTCAATCAGCGAACTAAAGAAAATCGTTTGAAAATATATACATTCTTTTTTAAAGACTGTGTCATCCTTTAAATTCGCCATTACATCAACGATGAAAGTCATGTTTCATCTCACAACTCCATAGCAAATTTGTTTAACAGAAGTGATATAGTCCAACATAACTCACTACGGGTCTTCAGAGCAACAAGTATCCTCACGAATATTAAACCCCAATTGCTACTCATCAAGAAATTTTCACACATACAATACAACTAAACCCAACTTTTAGTCAAGTAGTTTGACATTGAAAGGGTTTTAACAGCCGCTCAAATTGTAAAATATAACGTTATAGTGAGAAAATTAATGTACATATTTCCGAATGCCAGGATATTAACCAAAGTCTACGGAAACCCTAAATGACTTGTAACGGATACCTCAGGTACTGTTACTGCAGATTTCTAATGCCTATTATATTTTGTTTATTGACTGCTCTGAGTGAAGGCCTATACTCACTCGCCTGCAATACAAGAACCTTAGGCTTGGTGTCGACGACTGACCAGGACATTATCGAAAGTCAGCAAGACCCTTGTTTATGTTTTTCTAGCCTCTTTCTCAGCATTTAACTGGAAAACGCTGAGCAGTTATCATTAGCTATTTACCTCGAGGTTTTGATGTTCTGCTCCTAGAGGTTAACAATGGTTTGGCGACATGTTTTGATAAACGGTCGAAGACGCGAAATCAGTTAAGGGTCGAGATTAAGATGAACTTATAACTCAGTAGTCTTTATTGAGCACATCACTGACTGAAACCATACACTAGCTGGGAAGCAAGATAGCATATAACATATAAGATAAATAAGACTGGCATCTATGTGCATATATCAATCTACAACTGAGTCTCCATTAAATGTCCATGAATCCTGCGTTCCAAGTGAGGCTATTAATAAGTCCGCTTCACATAAGTGAGAAACCAATCAAAGAGGTCCTTAATAGGTAATCCTTCGGACAACGATGGGACAGCCACTAACGTTACCTGGTTTAATGGCTCTGTGGTACAGCGGATCTCAAGACCGGAAGTCTATACAAGGTTTACATTAAGATTATGACCTGGCACTACTAGACGGATCAATAAATCAAGGTAAAGTATAGGACTAAGGTCCTGATTCACTTATCTATACCACTAGAACGAAAGGTAATTCTGATATTATAAGCTTGCCATACTGAATACCCAGTCTACAAGATCTTGTGTAGACGTCGTACTATTGTCTACACACATTCCTTCTGTTGTCAGTTAGTAACATGCTGTTTATGGACCTTTTTAAGACACATATAATCTGGGGGTAGGATAATATATTTGATGCAAAAAGGTTGAGGTCACGCAGAATGATTAAGCCCACATTACCAAGCAGCGACATCTCACCTGGGTGTCTTTGTGGTTATGTATTCTGACGTTTTACAGTTTTCCAAAGGCTAATCGTTTTTATGTCCAGCTTCAAGGATCGTGCAGCTACGTACCAACGTTAATAGGAAAGTACATTTAGGAAGGACACTACTGACCGATCAACCATATTGATCGGTACCAACCGGCAGTAAAACTGACAAATGTCATACACACAAATAGCAATTACGTTTTACAAGGCTTTTTAATCATTAGCTAGGTATTTAGTCCGCACTCTTAAAGATGTTAACTGATTTACGAATAATGCGCAAATAGCCTCACGAGTCTGTAGTGTGAAATATACTCATCATCTTTAGGTTCAAATGTCACCACCAAGTAACCAGAGTCAAAATTAATTAGTCAAGAAATTTAAGAATTAATGTTTATATAAAACTTCGCCAACTCTAAAGAAATAAATCCTATTTAAAAACACTATGTACAATCAGTAAAATGCAAAACATTGTTAATATATATGTACTGTAAAAGTCATGTTATGAATTCGAGGGAGCGACTGAATCTTCAAGATCTGATATTGCCCATGGATAATCAGCAGACGAACCATCAAAAGCCAAACCTACCAAGAATAACAATATTGGGAAGGACTTGTAAACGGACCGAGCTAAAGTAAACAGCTATATGTAAAAACTTATTGACATGTTGATCTTTCCGAACTTATCACTAAAACTAATGTCTATATGTATACTGAAAATTTACATTGAAGTTTTAAGTACGGTCAGAAGGTTAAGCAGTTGGGTCCTTTGAAAAATAATATTCTACAGTGTGGGCAGCCGAGGATGGACAACCGTCATCAAACTCATAACGACATTCAAGAGCACCTTGAACAAGATCGAATCCCTTCGCCATCTCATAGTAATTCTCTTGTCCCTATGATGTCATTTCCCTACGATCTTACCACGACGTACCATTAGTGCTCCACCAAGTCAATATGAAAAATTTGCAAGATTTACCCGTTTTGTATCTGGGACCTCGACTAATGCTTCTCGTAACCTCACTAACGTAAGAATAAAGTTAGTTTTGAAAGCAGAACAGGCTCTCATGGACCAAAGTTCGACAGTCAGTCTCTTGCACGCCGTGCAACAAAACGGAAAAGTATAAATTTTGAAGAATAGGGACACATGCCGTTATCTCTTTCAGAAGGTTGAAACCGCAAAGAAACGATGACACAAGATTTTAAAGCCCAACCAAGCAAGCAGTCTATACTAAACCGCAAGTCACTTTAGTCTCACGGTATTGCGATTCTGTAAAAATATAGTGAGTACTGACTCCATCAGCTATGTTCAGTTAAACGTTTTTCTAGAAAGCACCAACCCCCAACTAGGGAATTGGACCGTTTTAACATGGCAACTCCACAATCTACGCACAAACGGATGCAAACAAATGATTGTAATGAACAAAGACTTGATGGGGAATACCAATTTATTGTTTTATAGAAAACCAAAGTGCCTTCGTAAGATATGAAATCTCTCGATCCTGATGCTATCCATTTAAGTCATATACGTCTGTCCATACTGCATCATGTTGCCCGAAACCGTCGTTAGAGATACTTAGTGGAGGACTGTTATCCATTCTAGAGCATATGTCTAGACTCTGACCATGTTCTAGTATGAGCACGCATTTGTATGCATCGTACTGAACGCAAAATAGTCAGAGCAATAAGACTACAGTTCAACATAACGACGTAAAAGTCAAGAGTATATTTTATAAACAGCTAGGGGGAAATTAGTCAGTGTTTACTCCAGATACCAAGACACCTGTAGAAACGGAAGATTTACCAGCAGCTTAAACCAAAAGGGTTGGAGAAGATAGTAGAATATAGTTGCGCCGACTGAATTAACCGTTGATAGGATCTACAACACGAGTATTATTATAATTTGAACACATAGATATTGGTACAAGAAGGCACCAAATGAATATACGCCACACAAATCTAATTTGATTTGTGTGAGGGCTGCGATACTACCCGGCTGTCCAAGCCGAAGCAGGTGGTTCTCTCAGGGACCACACCCCGAGCCTTCGACCTAAAGGTCTCATCCACAAGGTAATGGAGCAACGTCAGCAGATGCAGTCCCATGGTATCCGGTGACCAGTGACTGTTTCGTACGCCATTTGTTCCCTCAGGATACTGGAGCTCATGTGCATTATTGGTTTGCAATCAGGGTTTTCCAACTCTCCTAGGTGGACCACCCATGTCCACCAACCAAGTTAAAGCGCCGAACATTCGCTTTTCGTCCTCTTGATTTCGTAAACAACACCCCCACCACGAGAAGGCAGTAAGTAGGACTTTCCTGGCAATGGTTGTATGCACGTGGCCATGTGAAAGCATTTCGAGAGGGTGAGCGGACTCTCCCCACTCTCGGCCGTACCAGAGCCTTTGGGGGTAACGAAGACAGGACCGGCAAAAGACTTACACAATTATCGTGAATAGTTTTGACCGGTGGAATCAAAAGGAATAGAAACGGTGGTGGCAAGTGAAAATAGCTAACCATTCAAACTTATCAAAGAAACAGATACTGAAAACTTAGCTATTTCTGAAAAGGATGAGAAACTGATCTACATTATCCAGGAGATTATACTGGTGACCGAAACACTTTGGGAGAATTTTCGAATGGCTTTAAGCTACCCTTTAGTTATCCACTATCGCCCGACCACCTGAATAGCATATACACCTGCAACTCCTGGTGAGGTTGAAAAATAAGGTTATAGAGAGAGAAATAATTTCGAATTAACTGGTCAAAAAACGTTTTAGGGATGGTGGTTCAGTTTAATAAATTGACTGAGATATTAGCCAGAACTTGAACGTAATTACATTTAATTGGTTTCGGTTGCCGACTTTGCCAGTTTATAAGAACAAAACTTCTCTTGTGGAAATCGTAAAGGAATCATCGTTTGTTCACTTTCTCTTATTCCCACTTTATGTATCCGTTTCGACTTAGACAGCAGCTCGCCTATGGTGAAAATTCAGCTTTATCTAAACGTTCTCGAGTCACTGCCTGGTTGAAAATTGTATGTTACCACCGAATACGATTACTGAAGCAGTTTTCCTGAAACCACGTGCACCATTCAAACTGGCTGCCTTCAACGTTCGCACACTTATGCAGGTCGGACAACAGATAGGGCTGGCTATGTCTTTGGAAAGTCTTAATATCGATGTGTGTTGTCTATCCGAGACCCGTATTCAAGACTATGGTGAAGTACTACAAGTTCGCTCTCCATCTGTCGCTTCAAAAAGCTTGTTTTATGTGCGTTCATCCGGGGACCCTGTGGCATCTTCGTCTGGTCTTGCTGGCGTTGGTGTCGCACTAAGCACTAGAGCTGGGGCAGCACTAATCGATTGGATCCCTATTAACAGTCGGTTATGTGCTGTTAGATTAGAAAGTTCCATCAAAGTGAGAAGAAATCGGCGTGAGAAACGATGTCTTTTCGTCATCTCCGCCTATGCCCCGACAGAATGCAGCCCGGATGCAATCAAGGATGAATTCTACCACCAGTTATCTGTTCTTCTCCAGAAAGTGCGTTCGACAGATATTGTAGTACTAGCCCTGGTCTGCACCAATCTTACCTTACTTTTCAGTGGCCAACAAATTCATTGTCCTAAACGGATCAGTGTCAGTAAATAAGTTGAAGCTTCTCTTGTTACTTAATATCAAACCGGACTATGTTCAAGGCTAGCTAACATTGCACCGAAAATTTTTTGTGAGGCACATATGTATTTGATGCCCGTTTGTACCAATAAAATGGAATACATAAACAATTGCATATACTAATGGATTAAAATTGTTATAGCCCAAACCGAAAAATTTCAAATACATTTTCGACACTTAATAAATGCTTCTCCTGCTTTCTTGTATCTTTTTTTCGGTTTTACAATCGTGGCTTCTGCGTATTCGAGTACTGAAGCCAAACACCGTATTAGCCGTAATCAAGTAGAAGATGTAATAATTTGAATAACTTTTTCATCATACTATAATGGGTCAGAACGAGATGAGAGCTTGAAAACTTAATGACAAATCTGGATGACCCACGAGAAACATCAACTCAACAAAAACTTATCACATAAGTTGTCTCCAAAGATTTCACCATCCAAGTTTAGCTTAATTAAATAAAGCGAGACAATGACCATCTTCAAGGTGTGCAACACTCAACAACAAGAATCAATTATTGAAGTGAAATCGACATTTAGTTAGTTCAGAGTTTAGTCATGTATATTAGTTAGTAACCAACCAGAAGACTGATGAATAAAATGATACACCATGACTTTTATTTCCTTTTAAATTCAAATATCATACTTGTTAGTATATAATTTAGTTTGCAATCTAAACAATCTCATAAAGGCTAGTAATAATTTTTCTTACATTTATCTAAAAGTATGATAAAAAGGAATGGATAAAAGAAAAAATCTTATGCATCGTTTTGACTTACTATCTGAATATTTAGTTTTTGGTTGTACATAAAACTGTTCACGATTAAATACTCTAATCTCTCCAGATTCCAGTTGAACCTTTTGTGAAGTAGAAACAAATTATTGAACAAATTGAAATGCTACGAGAATAATATTAGTGAAAAATAAATAAATGAGATACCTTTTTTAACAAGTTGAACAACAACAACAAATATATATTCAACGTACTTACTTAACTACTGACTGTCATCTTAATACCGAAAAGAATAAATACTCGAAATAGACATGTAAAAAAACTAATATGACACAGGAGATGAATTCATTAAACTTTCTGTTGTAAAATATGTTCCAAAAAACACTAAAATTGTTATCAATCAACTGGAGTTACACATCATAAACCAAAATTTCGTCACCTGATAAGTGTGTGTTGTTATAATAAACTGATCCAATCCAGATAGATAGATGAGAGAAACGAAGTGATACAAAGTAAATAAGTGATGACTGATTCAGAGACCGAATTACTGAACACGAGCCTTCAAACTCAACTGATATCAGAAAACAAGACAACTGACCAGCAGAACAGGTATTTTCTTATAAAAAAAATAACACACTCCTATACATAATAATGAACACAAAAGTATGATTACAACTCATTTAATCAATTAGCGATTGGCGGTTGCAGGCACTATAGATTATCCAATTACCAACGGAAAAATGAACAAGAATTGGATGGAACTAGAAAAGAAGGCCCAGGACAAAGTGGGTTGGAGAATGCTGGTCGGCGGCCTATGCTCGATTAGGAGTAACAGGCGTAAGTAAGTAAGTATTAGTCTTATTTATTGCAGTCACACTACATCATGGATAGATACAACAGAGATATCGATTTTATTCGCATCAACACATTCACTGTCGATTTAATTGATTCTACATCAAACTCTGACTACTAAACATCTTTTTTTACTGAAATTATCTCTTCAGATATATGAAAAGCCGCAAACGACGTACAAATTAAGACATATGACACAAACATTAAATAAAACTGAATTGGATAAAACTGTGTGTGATTTCCTTTATCTGTTTTATAAAAGTGAAAACATGTATTTAAAACGAGATTAAATTGTTTATACACCTTCTTTCAGTTGTCCTTTACGTACTTCTTTATTCTTTCGATTCCGTTGTTATTCCGATTTCTCATCATTTTCCTTCCTTTTCTCTTTATTTCACTAGATGCGAGACATTTTTGATGCTGAGCTGACATCGGATTTAGATGGCCAGAGAGGTCAATCCGATATTTTGACGAATGGCGTGGTACAGACTGCGACAACCTAGAAAGCGGTATGTCGAGCAGATTGACTACAAGTGACCTTCTTTTGAAGGCGGAATGAGTGTGATGTACGCTACGTATGTTGACAGAGTTTGGTAGTATGTAGCAGCAATCGGAAGTGGGATGCTTGCCAGCAAAACATTTAATTAAAGATAAGAGAAAGTGAAACAGAGAGCAAACGGAATAACAAAGGAATCGAAATAATGAAGTACGTAAAGGACAACTGAAGAAAGATGTACAAATAATTTAATGTATGATTTTCATATTTTGTAAAGGCACTGTGCAATTTTGCATATAACAACAAATTGGTATAGCGTATCTGAGTTTTCGTTCACGACAATATAATACATAACATGTTTATTGAAGGTGCATTTAGTATGAATAAACAATGAAATGATCGATTTTTATCCAAGAGCAGCTAGCAAGCTAATAGGATCATAAGTGTTCATTAATAGAATGTGTTCATATGTTGTGGATGTTCTGAAAAATATGTTCAGTGTTACTTGAAGCAGTTGGTGAATAAATACAAAACATAATTAAACTGAATTCGAACATAAATGTTTTTATTCTCTCGATCACGAGACACCATTCTATAATATTGTTTGTTAATGAAATTTATTCTTAATGTGTTGTCTGGTATATGTATACATATAACTATTGTTATTTGCTGGAAGGTTACCTAACCTCATCAAAACATTTATGATTCTTTCGTTCATATGAGTTTGATAATAGAAGGAAAAAAGTACTAGAGGGTTTTTAAAGTAATATTCACAACGTTTTGTATCCCAAGTCCACTAATGATATTCAGACAGATGTGAAACTGTTAAATATTGATAAAAACGAATACATAATGAGATTTCCGGTAACCTACAGTGAGTTCAATTTATGAACAATTAAGAATCCACCAGTATGAACACAACGAACAAACTCAAATAGACCAGACGTCTTGAAAGGCAATAACACTACAACTTTCACAATCTACCCACCAATATGAGATAGAGAAAGTGGTACTTCTTAGGAAAGATTTACATTTCGACCAGATGTCGAGAACTGAACAACTGTTTATACAATAACATGTAATGACTCTGGAGCACTTAAAAACGTTAGTAAACTAAAAACAATAACAATCAGTCAGATAACAGGAAAGGTAGTTGCGAAAATATGAATTAGGAAAATGTCATCGGATTTATCCTTTAACGGAATAACATGTAGTAACGAAAAACTAGACAATCTTTGATCTTCTTGGCAGAAAATATGGAAACCTGTTCTACACATCATTACATCAATATATGCTAGATTCAAACATTTGATTATTTGACAAAATATGTGTAAAGGAAATAAGTGTGAGTTATTTACAACTTCAATAATTACACTTACTTCCCACTGTTCAGAAGTAGTACCTTCATACGTTCCCGAATATTCCATTCCATCATCCCATAAAACTTTAATAAGTGATCCTTTTTCTGGAGGTCCATCTTTGAACCAATCAACATTCTAAAAGTGAAGAGAAGACTAGAATCATTACTGCCTTTAAAAACACTAATTTTATTTAGTAATAAGAACTGATAAGTATGAATTATTAAGAATACTCATTAACATTCACAATAATTTGTGAACTACTCTAATAATCGCAATGTATAAAAGTATATAAAATTAAAGGTTAAAAAGTGTTCCTACTGTCAAATACTCTGGTGGTGTATCTGATGAGAAGGTTCCATCAGGAAATGAAATACGGCAGTATAAAGGAGTTACTCGTCGGATAGCAATAGCGGATGAAAATATAGGATCACTGGTTTCTTGTACCATTACTTCATCTCCTGGGGAAACGGAATCGTGATCGTGAAAATTTGGCTTTTTGTATTTAAAAGAGAAGCAAAAGATTAAATATGAATGAATACTTCTAGGTTAGTACAAAAAGTAATGATAGATTATTTGGAAAATAAAAATCTGTGACCATCAGTATAAAAGTTTAGTAGGAACTAAGAATGATTTAAAAACCAATGCAAATCCGAATCCAAAAGATGGCTTGAATTACTGGTACATACATCATATATACACAATATATCAAGGAATTACAACACAAAACCATGGATTTATTCAAGACCAAGTTCGATCACTCAAGCTCATACTCTTTAGTCAATCCAGAATTTACAGTCTTCTCTACCTCTCACTTTGTGTTGAAATTTGGTTATTGATCATTACAACCATTAAGGTTAGTTCCTTCTAAAATAACCAATGATCAAATATGAATGATACGTCACCTTTCATAAATAAACAAACATCACACTTAAATAACGGGGAAAAAATCATACTGCTGTACTACAGAGGAGTTCCTCTACACGAGATGAAGTTATTTTACCCTTCGTCTCGCTTGTACTAATAGCATCAAAGAATTCAAAAAGGTACCACGCATTATGTGAAAATCAAGAAATATGGTCAAGTATAGTAAATTTTGTCAAAAGTTATTTACTATATGCTATTTTGACTGAATACCAAAAATAATGAGTATTGTATTGATAAACATAAGCGCACAATGGACAATCTTACGTGATCGTAGTTAGTAGGATGTTTACTGCATGCGATATAAAAGAACCGAGGATATACATCAGTTCCAATAACAATACCAGCCATTTGAGCACAAGTAACATGAAACTGTGTAGAACAACCATTATGCCAGCAGGAAGCCAATGGAAGAAATCCTCTCCCAGGTAATTGACACACAAAACATATTGAAGGAAGAGATGATGCAATTTTGTCTCCAGTTTCAACTGGTATGTTAGTATTGTCAGAATGATGAACACTAAAAATTCCATTGTTATTATTCTGAATGAATGGTTTTATTTTTTTAAAATTAAAATCAACTGAAACTGTGGAAGTAGTGTTGAGTAGCTTTCGTGAAAAACGATTACTGTGAAATAAAAAAGAAAAAAGGGGAGCTAAATATGTGTTAGAAAAAAGTCTCAAAGAACTAGACCTTTTCATAGGAGAAATTCATTGATATATTTCTATCATTTACAATTTAGTACTTACAGTTCTGTTATTTTTAGTCATATATTATTATCAAACAGTAATTGGTGGTTGAATAACCGATGAAAAGAAAAAAAAAAACAATTACACCCGCACATGCTCTACATAGGGCGGAATCTGTTAACATTGATAACAAAGTGTCTGATGATGCACTCACTCAAAGATAAGCAAGGAAGACGATCTTCGGGAGGAAGAATATATTTGGTTGCGTGTAAAGGTAGCGTAACGTGAGATTTTTAAACTGGTTAGTTAGAACAGAAGAAGCTACCCACGGTAGACCGTAACGTGATTTGGCGATGATGTTTGACCGAGAACTAGTTAGTGTTTAACAAAACGAAGATGATCAGTGACGATCCAGAATGTTCACAAGACCGATCCATTCTAAAATGAATGGAATGTGGTTAGCAGTAAAGTTCAGGAGGAACATTTCGTTCTACTTGAGACTCATCAGTTGAATGTATCTGCATCCCGAAGTTGATGTCCGCCCCGCGATTCAAACCCAATACCTTTAGCATCAAACTCCGAGTTACCTACCCAGCTGTTGAGTCTAGATAGCCACAAACTTGTTCAACAGGTCCCAAATAGAATGAAACATACGTTCAGGATTCCATTGCTAGGCATATTCCATCTATTCTATACATTTATATCATAACGGTAATTTCTAGGCAATCCTCAGAGTTAACATATGTCAACTAGGATTGACAGAATTTCAGTAAAAATATCAACAACAAGATAATACAAACCTTTACAAATAAAATTATTAATGTTAACGAGTTATTTGCCATAAAACAGCAAATCTAAGTAATTATTTCATAAAAGAAAACTTACTTCGACTTCTTTAATCGACATATTTTACTTCTCTGATCAGGTGATTCATAATATTCTCGTAAAATATTGTTATCAACATTAGGTGGTTTCTTACGCAATAACTTCAAATTCCTTTGCAAATAACTTGAAGATTTGAAGGGAACATCCTCAGAGAAGCGATTTGGCGAACTGATATTTTGCATTTCGTTAACCACACGTTTATTACCTTCGTTGGAATATAATATGGCTGAAGATATAGCTGATTTGATCGTGTCTTCAGAAATAAATGCCAGTCGTTTAGGCACATCTTTAAAATAGCAACCTGGAGTAATTAGTGCACAAACTAAATGTGCCCAGTAAGGTCGTCCAGTAAATGCATTATTGATGTTGGCTAATGGTTTAATAGCTCCACCGCGCATATAACAAAATACGCATGTCTGTAAAATAATCAGATGCAAGTGAACAAATATATATATATATATATATATATATATATATATATATATATATATATATATGACTGAGCTAAAATGAATCTGTGTATATAATAAGGTGAAAGTAACTCACAAATGTACACCCTCATTGAACAGTTTGACAAAACCATCTGATGAAAACGGACCTCATAAGACTATTTACAAGAATACAACCGATGAATAAATATATTTTTTCTGTTTCATAGTTAAGATCGCGGGGTGATCTTAGCTAAACGACCATTGAGAACTATAAAGAATTGCACAGTCGTTTCGACTAAGTATGGGACTCCTTAGCGATGAGCATTTACGACTTCACCGGGCATCAAACTCAGGACCTTCGGTTTCGTGTGCGAACGTTTAACCTCGTATAACTTCAAATTCACTTAAATAGCTCTTGATAAGCTTTCCGGAAATCATGAAATATTCTGAGAATTAGCATGAATAATATCAAAAAAATATCGAGTATTAAACAAACCAAACATATGGATGGAAAATTTTTTTTCCAGAAATCTCGGAAAAGTGAATAATAGTTAATGAAAAAACCATTAAATAAACTTCATAATCAAGATGAAAAACAAATATACTATAATTTGTGTGATCTTACAATTTATCATTAATGCACATAACCCATAATTCACATGGATAGTATTTATTCTTTGAATTATATAACTGAGACCTATGCTATAATAAAACTTTAAAACATTAATAACAATATATAAATGAATAAGCATTTACTTATTATATTTTGATTATTTACAATGGAAAATTCGAAAATAATGGTGCAATAGACTAAGATAATTAAATTTGCATGGAAATTCTTGTATGCAATTACTTGTTTAATATGGATACCCAGTCTGCTAATAAATTGTACATCTTAATAAGTCATAAATTGCATAAAACGATTGCTATTTATCAACATGTATTATGAAACTATTCTAACTCTCAATCGTACAGTAAAGATGATAAAATGATCTGTCTTTGGTTTCAAAAAAGTAAATTTTTTCTGAAGATAGTTCCCGGAGTTCACTTACGCTGCGTGTTAAGAAGATACCCATCAATGGCATTGGGAGACGGACGCTAAATAGTACGAACTGATTTACGTTAGACATAAACACCATTGGATCCCAACTCAGTTGTGTTAAGGCAAATCACTCTCTGTAAGACTTTGGGTTCGACCACTGATGAGGTCGTGAAGATGTTCACTAATGAGGAATCTCATACTAAAACAAAACCGTTGTCTAGTGCTTACATGTATTCAGTGGTTCTTTAACATAGAAAAAATTCATAATGTAAACTGCACGATGTTATATTATATAGCAGTGAATGTTAATAACAAAATATCCGTCAAGTTGCATCATACCATCACTACTCTAACTGACTTGATGTTGCGTTATATTGTGTTTTGACGTCAAATAATTGGAGAACATTATCAGAAAGCCGTCAGTCAGTCAGTCGGCTGCAACGTAGGACCTTGCCCCCAAATGCCCTGGTATGGCCGAGAGCGGGGAGGGTTCGCCCTCCCTCTCGAAATACTCTCACACGGCCACGCGTATACAGCCTCTGCCAGGGAAGTCCTACTCACTGCCTTCTCGTGGCGGGGGTGTTGTCTACGAAAATGAGAGGACGAAAAGCGAACGTCCGGTGCTGTAACCGGATCCCAAACCAATGTTACACATGGGCTCCAGTATCCTGAAGGAACAAATGGCGTATGAACCAATTTTTGGTCACCGGCTTCCATGGGACTGCATCTCCTCACGATGCTCCACTGCCTTGTGGGTTAGACCTTTAGGTCAAAGGCTCGGGGTGTGGCCTCCTAAGAAAACCACCTGCTTCGGTCTGGGCACCCGGGAAGTATCTCAGCCCACGCACTAAAACATGATGAACTATTTACTTATGAAAAATATTCCTTTCGCTCCGATTTACGATGAAATGACTGGCACTACTACTATTATTATTATTACTATTTTACCATGTCATTTGTTCACTTTCTCTTATTCCCACTTTATGTATCCGTTTCGACTTAGACAGCAGCTCGCCTATGGTGAAAATTCAGCTTTATCTAAACGTTCTCGAGTCACTGCCTGGTTGAAAATTGTATGTTACCACCGAATACGATTACTGAAGCAGTTTTCCTGAAACCACGTGCACCATTCAAACTGGCTGCCTTCAACGTTCGCACACTTATGCAGGTCGGACAACAGATAGGGCTGGCTATGTCTTTGGAAAGTCTTAATATCCATCAAAGTGAGAAGAAATCGGCGTGAGAAACGATGTCTTTGTTAAGTCGATTTTCCGAGAACTGCAACAGAGCCTCCGGAGGCCCTGAAGGAGCCGAAGAGTCTTAGCCAATCAGAGCACGATGGAGCTTTCTAGAATGCCAACGTGGCGTGCTACTATTGGTCAGTAGCATAATATGTTTTTTAGCGGATTGGCCAAGATATGATATTGATTTAACAAATGTTAACATCTATAAATACCCGTGTTTTTCTGTACAAAAACGAACCTTGAAGTAAAGTACTTTTCGCATACTTCGCGCCTTTTCTCTCGTGTTCAGGACGCTGTATAGTTCTAGCTTGGGGTTTTCAGAAAAGCTTAGGAATCGAGTATAGCGTTCAAAATCTCAAGACTTATCAGTGGCGACGGGGATGACGACAATGAATTTTTCTTTGGAGCAGCTAGAAGCTTATATGGTGCGTCAAGAAAAGAGGTTTGAACAATCGCAAATCAAAATAATGGAAGCCTTGATGCAGAAATTGCGCCTGTCTCAACAACACAAATATCTCATACTGATTCAATCATAAATGCCATACATGAATTTAATTTTGATGGTGCAGCAGGTGTAACTTTTGATTCCTGGTTTAAGAAGCATGAAGATTTATTCTATATTGATCTCTGCAGACTTGATGACGCTTCAAAAGTCAGAATACTTTTAAGAAAACTTGGGACTATGGAACATGAACGCTATAGCAACTTCATTCTTCCGAAGAATCCACGAGACTTTAGTTTTGATGAAACAGTTAAAACCTTGTCTCAAATCTTTGGAGAACAATCATCTCTATTCAACATCCGTTATCAATGCTTGAAGATAACAAGAGAACCGGGGGATGACTGGGTGAAACATGCAGGAATTGTGAACCGAGAATGTGAGAGATTCAAATTGTCTTCTATGAGTGAAGACCAGTTTAAATGTCTAGTGTTTGTGTGTAGCCTGCATTCACCCGAGGATGCTGACATCCAAACAAGAATCCTAAGCAAGCTTGAACATTGTCCTAACATGATCCTGCAAGAAGCAGCTACCGAATGTCAAAGTTTAGTGAATTTAAAGCATGATACTGTGATGGTAGAGAACAGTGACCGGTTCCGTCATGTCCATGCCGTCGAGAGAAAATTCTCTCAAGGTTCCAGCACGCAGAATTATCGTGATGACAAAAACAAACCATCATCTCCATGCTGGGCATGTGGAGGTTGGCACTATAAGAGGTTCTGCCCGTATAAAGAACATTGTTGCAGTAAGTGCCATCGGAAGGATCATAAAGAAACCAGCTGCAGGAAAAAAAAACTATAAACGATATTCTGCAAAATCTTACTTCAAGAAATACAGGTCAGGCGCATTAACAAAAAGAATGTTGGTATCACATAATCAAGCACGAAATTGCCGCCAGAGAAAGTACGTAACGTTAGATATCAATAAACACCGTACTCGCCTTCAGTTTGATACAGCTTCTGATATCACCTTAATCAGCCCAGAAACCTGGAGAAACATTGGGAGACCCACAGTTCTCCCAACATCACAACTGGCACACAGTGCATCTGGGGGGAATTTAAATATTGTGGGAGAAGTGCCCTGCACTGTTTCTAAAGGTACTGTAACGACGAATGCAACTGTATACCTTTCAAAGAAGCCAGCATTAGACTTACTGGGGTTAGATCTTATAGAGACACTTAAACTAGCAGACCATTCTATTAACAGCATTTGCAGACGAATCAGAGCTGAAAACACCCTACAGTAGAACCAGAAAAGTGCTGTGCTACAAAGACACCACAACGTGTTTAAAGAAGGATTGGGAGAATGTACGAAGGCCAAAGCGCTGTTAACCCTAAAACCTGCAGCTACTCCCGTTTTTCGACCTAAAAGACCTGTACCTTATGCTGACTTTCCAATAGTTGAACAAGAATTACAACGACTTCAGGAAATGGGTGTTATCGAACCTGTGAACTCAAACTGGGCTGCACCGATAGTGGTGGTCAAGAAGTCGAATGGAAGCGTCCGTCTATGTGCAGACTACTCTACCGGATTAAATGAAGCTCTAGAGTCTCACCAGTATCCTTTACCCTTACCGGAAGATCTTTTCGCTAAGCTGAATGGTGGCAGATATTTTGCGAGATTGGACTTATCAGACGCGTATCTACAAATTCCGGTATCTGATGAAAGCAAAGATCTCCTGACGATCAACACACACAAAGGTCTGTTCCGATATAACCGCCTACCGTTTGGAGTGAAGACGGCGCCCTCTATTTTCCAGCAAATTATGGATACCATGCTACAAGGTATTCCAGGGGCAGCAGCTTATCTAGACGACATCATAATTATGGCAGCCGACAAAATGGACCTGCAGAAGGAACTGGACCAGGTACTAGAACGTGTAGCCGATTATGGTTTTCGCCTCCGAGCGGAGAAGTGTGACTTCTACATGCAGCAAGTACGATACCTGGGGTTCATAATAGATAAAGACGGAAGACGACCAGATCCAGAGAACATTGAAGCCGTGAGAACAATGCCTAGACCTAGGGACATTCCTACCCTACGATCGTTCTTGGGACTGGTCAGCCATTATGGTAACTTCCTCCCAGATCTTCACCGTCTACGTGCTCCACTTAACAACTTACTAGAAAAAAATACAAGATGGAATTGGTCGGCGGACTGCCAAGCATCTATCGAGAAAATCAAGCAACTCCTAACTTCC